GACGGCCAAACGACAATGGTTGGCGACATCCATGGACAGGTGGGGGCGGGCTTGATTTCTGATCTGTCGTCTTCAGTGGGACACCCTGCAGCGGGTCGTCTCAGCCGCTGCCCACCGACGGGAACACAGGGATCCGGCGCTCTCCACGGGAGGCGGAAAGTAAGGCTTCACCACTTTCCTAAACGCAAGAACGCTAAAAATTTTCATCAAAAGCACAAAAAATATATATTTTTCGAGCAAAATTTCGCATTTGCAAAGATTTTTTAAAGTACGCCGGCTAAATTGCCCTCGAAAATACAGTTAACAAGGAGACGTTTTTGAGAAATAACCTGTTTTCCTCATGTGCAGAATTTTCTGCCTTGACCCCGAAACCGGTTTTTAATTATGCGAAATGATCGGAGCAAAAACGTTATGAAGGTTTTAAGTGCAAAAAAGACCCAAACTGGATCCATTTCCTCAAATTTTTGCCCTTTACGCCAGGGAAAGTTTAATAACTTTTCTAAACCAATCGTTTTACAAGTTTTGAAAACAGCTTCGGAATCTGCCAAAACTTTGGTATAAAAGGTACTTGGTGCCGTAAGGAAACCCAATCGTCACTAAGAACGTCTCGTCTCTCGTTAAAAAATTGCCTGGGTAGTGATACTCGATTAATTTAGTTTTGTTTATGCTTGGTATCATTATAATCCCCGAGCTCCACTGGACGAAGATTTCACGATATCCTTTTCGAATTACGGCGCATTTCAGGATACTGTTCCTGGGTGACATCGTCGACCGAGACGTGTTCTGTATGGAGTGCATGCTGATGATTATGGTGATGAAGATCGCGTATCCAGATAAGGTTGGTCACCTAGGATTTTGCTTGATTTTTTTTGTATCATTGAAGGTGCTTATCCATTTTTTCACGTTTACTACAAAACCCGCAGATCTTAATTTTGGCATTGCGAAAAATGGCTGTTTTTGGTCAGCCCAGACATTGACGATTTCGAAATATTTTCCTGCCTTTCTAGGGTAGCTTTTTGGTAAACAGGTTGTAATAGCATTCATAGATACTATGAGCTCGTGAGCCCCATTGTAATGTTATTACAGGTGTTCCTCCTTCGCGGGAATCACGAAACGGCGCACATCAACCGGCAATACGGCTTTTTCGATGAACTAGTGGGCAGATATCCGCTAGTACGTATCATTGCAGGGCTTATAAAAACCACTTTCCACTTTAAAATAGCGCAATGTACATTTTTTGGTGCTCATATCCGAAAAATGGGCCTTGTTCATCTTTCCCAAAAAGTCACCTTCCCTACAAATAATTTTTCCGAAAAATCATTATTTCTAAGATTTTTTCTGAAAGTTCGCATTTTGTTAAGTTTGGGCCAAAAAAGCTCAAAATCTGTTCTTTCCAGAGTTTCAAGCTCTATCGAATGAGTTATGTGACGTAGCAAAATTCGAAGATCACTTAAAAGCCACTGTAAACTGAAATGGCTGGGCATTTCAGGCGGACGCCAAATTGCTGTGGGCGGCCTTCAACCGGGTCTTCAATTTGCTGCCCCTGTGCGCGTTGGTCGGCGGCGAACGCCGTGGTCTCTTCGTGGTGCACGCTGGATTTGGACGTGAGTCTTCCTTCAGCCGCCGCATTGCCCCCCAAACGTTTGCAGCAAAATTCGAAAAGGAGGGCCTGGACGCGCTCAAAGATGTGCCATACCCGCTCAGCGAGACCGAAGCCTGGCCGCAGGTTATGGACATGATCTGGTCGGATCCCGAGCCGCTGGCCGATCAACCCGAGTAAGCGCTGTCAAACGGAAAAACCCATCGACCGCATAATTGAAAAAAATCGCGCGAAATTTTGGAGCATCAGCATTTTTACACTCTCCAAAACAAAACTGAAAATGAAAAATGAAACCGCACTAGCTACCGAAAATTTTGAGTTATCGCAGAAAATACTGCTTTCCCAACATTTTCCCCCTTCATTTTCGGTTATCTTTGGGACCCTGTGTCAATTCACATTATGTTTCCGCTGTAAAACTACAAAAAATCCTACAAATTTGCTCACAAAAAATCTCTGCACATTTTTTCGTTTAAGAGTGCTTTGTGCGGATAGTTTTGGGAGTTTCGGTACTTTGCATTTTTTTTAAATCGGTGGCCATGGTAAACTCCCTACAATCTCAGGTACAAGCCGAATACGGCCCGCGGTTTGAGCATCGTGTACCCAAAGGCCGCTATAAGCCGAATGCTTGCAAAAATCAACATGTCCTTGATCGTGCGAGCTCATGAGGTAACCGCCGGCATTCACAACCGCACATCCAGCCCGGTTCAGATCCACCCGTGGGGTTACCAGATACTCAAAGACCCTGCCAAGAAGCCCATTCTCGTGACGATCTTTTCGTCCGCTGGCCGAATTCAGGTGGGGTCAATTTTCTTTTAGAAAAGTGCAGCACGTAGAGCAGTCTCAATAACGTCAACAAGCCATATACCCCAAAAACTAGCTTCGGCATTTCGCTTGTCAATAACTTCTGTTCTTTTTTTTTAGATTATTTTGGGCTGTATATGTCTACGTCTCTTTTTTTGTGCTTTATTGAATAGCGTTAACAGCATCGCGCAAAACATCAAAAATTCCACATAGCTTACCAACCTCATTTCAGGTTTTTTTCTTTTATTCCTTAAAATATAATGTTTTTGTCTAAAACCAGGGTTGAAAAACAGCTTCGCGGCTTTTCAACCCGGGCCCCGTCTAGGATATATGAAACTTTGCATAATTCTTGCCGAAAACCGATGACCAAAAAACGAAAACTACGTCCTCCCTTCCTTTTATAAACCATTTCCACCAAAAATGGAGAATTAATCAAATCACGCTAATTTGACGACTTTATAAGGCAAAACCTTCCAAAACCTTAAACGAATTTAGGAAGTCTATTCAAAGCCAAAAAAAAATGCCGTAAAAACGTTTTTTTGACCCCGAAAAATCCGAGTTTTAATTGGATTCGACTAGAGCAACACAAAAACGTGCTCACGAGTTTAGGGCCGACCCGCCGCGATCCTCCACACGGATTGGGAGCTGCGTTCCACCATTGTTCATCTGCAGCAACCGCTACCTCCTCCAGGTAGTTGTTTTTCTTGGAGGTGCTTTCGTAATACGCGCAATACCGGGTGCCGGAAGAAGAACTTTGTTAATCTTTGCTAAAAATACAAAATTATCATTTTTTTGGTTAAAATTTTAAAATGTAGTTTTTTAAATAGATTTTTTTGGAATTAAACATATGACCTATCAAGATTATTCTCTGAGAACCTAACTGTTACAGCGGCAGGAGCCGCCCCGACGGCCAACAACGCGCTGTCGAGCTGCAGCGAGCAGGCCGTCATTCCAAAGAAGTCGAGCACCAGCCCCGCGCCGAGTCCCGCGGCAGCCATGACGTCCAGCGCCGCGCGAGCCGCTGCCGTGAGCCCTGCCTAGAGCCTCGAAGCTCACGGCGCGCCGCCCTATTGCTTAAAGAACATTATCGATCCGCGTGATTGACACCAAACTTTTTCGTTGTATGATTTGATTTTGATTTGCATCTGTGCTTTGTACACCTGTATTGCACTGGGGAATAAAGAATTACGTTCAGATACGCCGGTATTCCCTTCCGCCAAATTTCAACTCTCCCAACTTCCCAAATCAGCAAAATCAATAAGAGCAAATTGCAAAAGACAGCGGCCATTCCGGATCAAAAAAAAACATCAAAGTATCAGAACCTCATTGATAGGGAGAGCGGCTGCGAACCCGAGCGGTTTCTAAAATAATCGGTTAGTGGTGGCTAGGTCTTGTTGATGGGCATTTCGAACTGCAAATAACCTCTTCGCCTTCCGGAAGCAGGACATCGATTTCAGGACCGTTTTCACGGTGTGGTTCATAGACAGGAAAACGAGTGAGTTCAGCGAGTGGTTGAAGACTAAAAATCAGTTTTTGCAATCGTAACGGGTCGTCAGGGTATATTAGTAGGGACAATGAAAACAAAATTTTGTCAACCTGTGGCCACTATCCGGGCCGTATCGAGCAGTGCTTTGGATGTTTCATCGAGTCCTGATCGCTGTACAAGGTCGAGACAGCGCATAATCTAAGGGTGTCTCTATTCCTCTCGCTCACTCTCCGTCTCTCTCTTTGTCTCTCTCTCGGACTCTCCCGCTCGCTCTCTCTCTATCTCTATCTTCCTCTCTCGCCCTCTTTCCTACCTCCAGGAATAGGGCTTCGATAAACACCTGGATCAACAGCGCTTTGTCGTGGCTTTTCAAGCTAACCGCAGCCTTGCGCCTGAAATCGCAAAACGTAGTTGAAACCGATATTAAATCTTATCCTGTGCCCACCGCTACCGTACCTTTGCTGACGCAGCGACCAGTAGATGAGGGCATAAAAAGATAAATTTACGACCGGCATCCCGTACTGGATAACTGCCACAATGGTAGTAGCGACCGGGGATGGGGTGTTGGTGGGTGGGGGGTGATTTGGGATCGGTCGCTTGGGTCCCAGCACTCGGAGACCCATGATGATACAGAGAATTAGGAAGGCAACAAATATTGTGATCGGCATCCGGCGCCTATGAAAATGGTTTTTTTTTGCTATGATCAGCACTTTGAGCGTTTTTTCATTATTGATTTGTCTAAAACATGCGCTTTACGTAGATTTCTGTAAGAATTGAAATTTTCTCCTCTTCTAAAATCACCCAAAATTGGTAGTTTAAGAAGTGATCCTACAAAAATTCTCTTACTTGGTGAAGATGCGCTGCAGCGGGTAGGCGACAAAAACGGCGAATCGGTTCAGCGAGATCAGGGAAATGAGGATAAAAAGAGCTTGATCAGTAGCGTCAAGACCGTAGGAACCTAACGATATAGGCTTGTACAAAATGTATGCATTATTACAATGGTAGATTGCGTCGTTAAAGGTATGATTATGGGTTTTTATGGCAAGTAATTCTATATGAATTTTGCCGAGCCCGCAAGACGCGAAGTGCGCAAGCTTGCGCGGTTGCGCGTCATGATGAGGCCAAAATCCATAGCTGCCACTTGCCTGTCTCTTTAATGGAAAACATACCAATCACCGAATCCTGCAGCCACTCGGAAAATGGGAAACCACCCCATCCAAATATTTGCTGCGGGAAGATCTGAAGCCAATGCTGCAAAAGGTGGAGCCAATCCACGACGGCCAGGCAGTAGACAATTTGGTAGAATGGGGCCTGAAATGTTATACTTGAGGGGAAGTATCGTACCTCGTTGAACGTCTTCCGCCCATAGATCAGGATCGTCAGGAAAAAGGTCACCGACACGGAACCGATCGTTAGGGCGGTGGTGTAGACTATTGGAAAGATTAGGGGGGCCGCTTCAGATGTGGCCATCGATTTTTACTATACAAAACGGTAGTAAGGAGGCTCTATAAGGTAAAAATTTATTGATGGAGTCATGCACTATAGAAAAGTATTTAGCGACCACCAGACCCATTAAAAATTTATAACCTTGCGAACTACAGCTAAAATTTGAACGATAAGAATGGATTAACTTTTTAAAATTGTTGACGATGTAACGGTTTAGCTTTACCGCGTTTTTCTGGGGTACTAACGCACCGGAAGAGCTATTTATGAGAAAAATACCGGGCACAGGAAGTACCCAGGCCCTGGCCCAGTGCCAGTGTCATTTCGCGGCTAAGTGCCCAGGCGAAAATCGTTAACCGCCAATTTTCTGGCTATCGCCAACTTTGCGGCGACACTGTAGTCGAAAGTTTGGATAAAAATAGAATTTCGTAAGTAGCCATAATTTTCTGTATAGTCTCAGGTGATCAGCCGCATCTTAAGATAGCTTTCAGAGAGTTTGGTAAGTGAGATTGCCGATGTCCAAATTTTGTACAGCATCATGCTCCTTTTTAGTGATTTTTGCCATGAGTTTGAGTCAACTGTAAGAACATACGAAAAATGGAGTTTCCAACCTGTTTCTCACTTTCTCTATCTCTCTTTCACTCATTCTCTCGCTCTCGCTCTCTCTCTCTCTCCTTTCTAGCTCTCTCGTTCTCGCTCTCCCTCTCTCATTCGCTCTCTCATTCGCTCTCTCTGTCTCTTTCTCGCTCTCCAGCGAGAAAGGCACGGCAAAGAAAAGCACGTTTATATGTCGTATAAGAAATTTTTATACCGAATAAGAACGTTTATTAAATTAAAACTTTAAAAACACATACACTCATCATCAGAAAGCCGTCGCGGGGTTTACCGGTAAACATGGGGTGGGTGGGGTTTCGGGATTTTTGTAATAAATGAGATCGTGCAAGAACGAGACTAGGCTTGGACCCATAATTAATGCAAAATGTGGCTGTAGGGGCTTGCTAGAAACTTGACATTAAAAGTATATAATGGCAAAATATTGTTATATTTGGAGCTTATATAATCGCGTCCTCGTCGTCGATGCATCGGAGTTCTTCCTGGAGGAGGCGTTTGTTGCCTAAAACTGAAGGTATAAGTTGAGGGGTAAATTTGAAAAAGCCTTCACCTTAACTGACTTAACTAGCTTATATCTTTCTGTAGTTGATCATTATGCTCGTCAAAATTGTCAAAAACGAGCGGAAATCGTAGTTTTATAGCTTTTTAAAAAGAGAATGAGATTGTAAATGAAAATTTTTTTTTAAGTGAGATTTTTAAAAGTACCAAAATCACTTGTAAAGCCATTAAACTGTTTGTATCTTACCTGGCGGTGGTGATAGTGGGTCCCTTTCTTCTTCCAAATCCGATAGCGCCGTGGACGGCCTCGTGCAGCCGGACAGGTCGCCGCTGCTCAGCGCGCTAAATAGCGGTGATACTCCGGTTTTGAAGGCCGATCTCAACGCCCTAGAAAAGGCCGAAAAATCCTACCACGAAGTGTCCCTCGTGTAAAAGTTGAAAATGTTGTTGTTCGGCCGGCAGTTCGTGTACTTCTTCTTCTGGTCGGCGTGGTTGGGCGAGGCACAATTCGAGGGGCACTCCACGACAATTGACGGCGGCGGTATCGAGCTGTTCAGCGCGTCGGGGTTTTGGGGCTAAAACAGGGAATTTCGGTCAAATTTCATAAAAATTACAAAAAAAGATAGCATAGCATCACAAGCGTACCTTAATGCCGTTAGGAAGCGGTGAGTTGGGGTAGCTGGTTAGTATCGATGGCGTAGGGGTGCTCTCCATACTCCTGACCTCGTCAAGCCGGTGCTCGTGGTGATCGTGGCAAAAGTATTCGGACGACTGAAAGTACGAGACGTTACGGGTTTGTGCGGTTAATCGGAATTTTTCGGATTTCGAACTAATCTTTGGCTAAATCTTGAATTCATCGCGCCATTACACGCGCCGCAACCCCCAACGAGCACCCGCGCCTTTCGATTGCGTAATCGATTACGACGTGCTAATCCTAAGGGAAATCTCACCCAAGAGTAGGCAATACCATGCTCGTCCCTTTAAAGCTTTCCATTCTGGTTTTTAGCGCAATTAACCTTTTAGATCCTAGTACTCACATTTCGACTGCTCTTATAGTACTCGGCCGCCGAACTGCTCGGCGTCTTCACCGGATACGTGCAGTTGAACAGGTTGTAGTCGATCTGGTAGGACCCGTTGCTGCGCTGGTAGGTGACCAACTTTCGGAACCTAGTGCAAAAAGTTTTACAGACAAAAAAAAATACAGTATACCGGTGGCCCCACAAAATTTCGGTGGGTAAATAGCTCGTCCTCGCCTGGGCCGTCATTCCGGTCGACTCGACAATTCCCTAAATCGATTTTTATATGGGTTTCAAGGCCGAGGTATCAAAAAATCTTGCTGCTTGCTGTCGCCATATCTTTGAAGGGCATGTTCAGGGACGTTTGTTTTGGGAAGAAAGCAAACATTTTGGCCGCGGCCGGGGGTCGAACCCGGGCCTCCTAATCGGGAGGCGCAGCCGCATCCCAGTCAACCCCAGGTGCTACCTGGCGAGGGGTCGAGGGGGCGCCCCACCCCGGAAAGAGGGGAATGGCCTCCCACACGGCACGGGCAGGCAGCGCGCGCGGACCCTACGTGCATAGGGTGTACACGTTGGGACGAGTATACGGCCCCTCCCTGAACGTGCGCTTTAAAGCGTCAATTCCAGTTTTTGTTCTTACAATAATGTATCGAATAGCTAATTTTTATTTTTAGTTTTGGGCCAATTTGTTACGCTTATAACGACTTGTTACGCAATTCCCAGACGCCCACCTCCAGCAAAACAATAATCTCAAATTGCGCAGACGAAAGCGCATGGGCTGCATATTCATACAATGGGCTCTCCTTGTCGATCACGTGGCATAATGTGGTGGGCCAGACCTAGAGAAGAGAATAGGCATTGTTCCCAGTAAATATCCCATTTCCGCATACCAGGAATATCCGGTCGTCGTCGGTGATGCTCGGGCCGACCTTCATCTCGTATTGATGCAGGGGTTCGATCTGGAATAATAACCGTAGATTTTTTGCCAAATAATAGGTTTTTTATAAAGACTCCAAATTGGGGGTCTGCTAGCAAAGCCTATATTTTGCAGGAATTTTTAGATGATTCAAAATCTGTTCTTAAAATTGAGAACAAGCTCGATTTCCAACTTTGGGGACGGTTTTGTAGCTTGTCGTAGTTCAGATCTTATAGCATTTTGCTATATTGGTTATGGTTATTGATAAGAAATTTGTGGTTCCAGATACCTCTAAAAATCTGGTAAAATACTTTTTTTTTGGGAAAAATCAGGCTACTATCAGGCTGCTATTTGTATAAATGGCTATTTGGAGTGAGAGATAACAGCAGAGCTACCCTAAGCTTTATGAAAAGTTTTGTGCCGTTTTTTCCGCTTGTTGGCAAGGTTTGCACAATGATTTAAAAGCGTTGAAAAGATTTAAAAAATGAAGAAGGTGAGGGCCACACTTAAAGTGGGGCATTTTTTAGAGACACAGATCTCTAAAGACGATATTCAAAACGGACACAACGATACCATCATTAACGTTCAACAGAGCGTATTAACTCATTTTTTGGATTGAGACCCACCTCGCCCTCACTCGTCTCACGGTCCGTAATGAATTGGAGCCGTACGTGTGCTTCCACGAGATGCGTATTCCGCATGTCTCCGACCCGACAAAGGAAACACAGCTGACCGTCTCGGAGGCAGATCACCGCTTTTTCACTGGAAAATTGGTCGTTTTAGAACCTATTGTAAGGCATACCTAAATATAATAGTTTCCGCCCGTTTCTTGGGTCTTGCCATTTTTGCAAAAACGAGTCCGACCATGAAAGATTGGATCAAGAGCCCGCAGATGCATTGGGTACAAACTACAAGCCCAGCAGTTTTGCACTCGGTTGTTGTGTATCTAAAAGGTATCGAAATTAATGCTCATAGTGTTAGGGACTCAGAGAGAGAGAGAGAGAGAGAGAGAAGAGAGAGAGAGAGAGACAGAGAGAGAGAATGAGAGAAAACGCCCTCATCCCTACCTATGCCCATATCCTATCGTATGATGCGTCTCCACCGCGAATAGGAATGACGCGTAGAAACCCTCTAGGTTTGCGATACATTGCGTATGGTTAACGTTCATTCCGGCCTCCATCAGCTGCTCCGGCAGATCGCCGTGGAACCACGCAATCATATAATACAACGTCGCGAAGAAGGACCAACTAAAATGATTCCAAACGTCACATTTTAAGACTTCGAAGGGCCGAAGCGTGTCATTTCTTCGGCTTACCTGCTAATAAACACCAACGCAAAAATAACAAACATATACCGCCACTTGACATCAATCATGGTAGTGAAAATATCCCTAAAAAACAATTTTTCAGTTTGATTTCGAAATTCGAGGTATACCGTAAATACTGTCTATCCTTTTTCGGCACGTTAGCGTTGTACACATTACAAACCCCGTTTTTCGAGATCAGCCGTGATTTTTTCATCTGGAAATATGGTTTGGTTAGGTATCTTTTCATCTGATTACGCTATGTAATTGACTGATTGGATGACTACCTTTTTCGTGCTCTTCCGGGTGAGCGGCGACGAATTCCGACGTGCCGTAAGGGCGAGGGTTCGGAAACTTTCAGAGAAGGCATCTGGAAGAATGGGTATTGGAGCGGTTAAAGGGTCGTGCAAGTGGGTTTTCATAGGTTTTTGTTTGTTGATATATTATTTTTAATTAGATTTTGACGACTACGTGTTTGACCTAATGACACGGTCTATTCTGGTTTGTCCACATTCTAGGGAAACTGTGCAACATTTAATTTAATAGCTGATATAAACTTTTCGGCGGCCCCATTAAATTAAAATTCACAAGGCTACTAGCTAGAAAAACGACTTGAAAAATAACACTACCCCGTCCCATACCTGAAAAATTGGTCCTGGAAATTTTTCGAAATATCGATTCATCATCAAACTCGAACATCGAAAGGTTGAGAAATATCCCAGACCGGGAAGCCACAAATCCCGTGCGCTTATCCGAGCTCAAAAGCAAAGATGCTCAAAGCCCGGCGCGCATTACCAAATCGGGCGGCAAATATCAAATTTCCCGGCCCAGGGGGCTTGTTGCCCGAATATCGCTTTTTTTTGCGCGTACGCTCTCTTTCTCATCTTTCCCTCGCCCGCCTCCTCCTCTCTCTCTCTCTCTCTCTCTCTCTTTCTCTCTCTCTCTCTTTCTCTTGTGCCCGCTTTGTATAGAATTGCGTCAAGAGGTGTCCGGCGGATTTACTTTTTCTATTCGGCGCCCCGCCCTGCCCGCGTTTTCTTTGTTTTTAATTGTCCCCCTCCATCCGCCACGCCCACTACATAGAGATATATTTTTGCCGGGTAGTACCAGGTAAAGAGTCTATTTTTGGGTGTCTGGAGCGTTTTGGGGATTATTTCTGGGGTGTGGATAGTATTCTCATGGAGTCTGGGCGTTTCTGGAAGTAGTGTGTGACCCGGGATGCGTCAGAGGATTTGTAAGGCGGAGATCTGTTTCGAGGGGCAAATGATATGGTTCTGGAAATCTATGGCTTGAAAATCTGATTGAAAGCTTAATAAAACGATGAAAATGCCAGGAGGCTTTTTGAGGCTCATAGTTAGTTTTGCCAGCCCAACGAGTTTAAATGGTAATTCTGTAATATATTGCGCAGCCGTAATTTGGGCTTTAGCGGAATTCCCTCCCCCTCTCTCCTCTCCTCTCTCTCTCTCTCTCTCTCTCTCTCTCTCTCTTTCTCTCAATCTCTCTTGCTCCCACTCCCTTTTTTTCTCGCTTTCTCTCTATCTCTTTCCCGTTCTCTCTCGCTTCTTTTCTTTCTCTCGCGACATATCTGTCTGTCACTCTCGCATTAGCACTTCTGGTCATCGCACTCTCTCTCTCTCTCTCTCTCTCTCTCTCTCTCTCTCTCTCGCTCTTCGCTGTCTTTCTCACTCATCTCCCGCCAGAATATTTGATTGATGAATTTTGAGGTGTTCTATTAAAAACACCTAACTCAATTCCAGACTTCGAATCAAAATTTTCATATTTAAAAGCAGTGCGACACGCGGAAAAGAGGAAATGACAGCCGTAAAGAAGCGGATGCAAAGCTGTCTAACATCTAGTATTAAGTGCTGTAATCATAGACTAGGATTCCGTGATTGCCGGTGCTTCTCACCCAAACAAACCCACCAATGGACAGTCGCTGCATTGGGGAGACTCGGCTCAGAAAATCTTAAAATCCGGGAAATTCGAGCATTCGGGGGTCGGGGAAACGGACTTCACGGGGCCGCCCGGCAATCCGGAATTCGGGCCAAAAAATGGAAATCCGGTGTGGTAGGGAAGGGGGCCCTTCTTTTTGGGGCTGGGCAGATGGCCACGAGGGACTAATTTGGCGCAAATTCAACGACTATGTGCTTTTAGCACCTCGAGGATGGGCATCAGGCGGATGCACCGGGTCGGAAAAACCGAAATTTTGGTTTGGAAATTGTTAGGAAATTGGTTAAAAATGCACAACTAGCTTTAAACGTTTGAATGAAGTTATGAGTGCATTACGGAAGAGCCATAAAAAGTACGTTGGGATGTTCGGAACCTGCCTGACACTATGTAAAAAAAATTTAAAAGAATGCAAAACAAAAAAAACGCGTAAGTTTCGTCTTAAGGGTAGTTTAATTACTTATAAACTGTTCATTTGCATCATTCTCACGATCCCTGAAAGTTACAACATCGAAGCTAAACCCTCATTAAACCTTAACAAAGTCGCAACAACGGTAAAAACGTCGAAATTACCAAATTATCACAATCTTCCCATCGCGTGGAAATTAAGAAAATTTTGAAAAAGCCATTTAAACGCTTAAAAGCCAAAAAGGACGCGATGGATCCCTGTTTCTGTATCCCAGCTCCCGGAAAGCAGGAAGAAAAGCATAGATAGGCTGTCATTCCCAGGCACGTGGATTAGTATCTAGCAGTGACAATTGGTAGTTGCGTTCTCCTTTCACTAAAACTCTAATTGACAACTTTTTACATTTTTCACCACCCCGCTGCAGCCCACTCCGCGCCACTACCACCACGGCACGGTTGAACAGACTGCGCCGGCGCTCAACTGGCATAGGCTAAAAAACTGGAAATTAGCGGCTAAACGGAAGTGTGGACATTAAAATTGAAGGCGATTTTGATGGGAATGCCGTCATACAGGGTGGCCCAAAAAAAACAACAGGTTTGGGCTCGATTATCTCGAGAACCTTAATGAATTCATGGTGGGTTGATGGCTGAAGACCACTTTCTCGGCCTGGAAAAGAAATAAAACACAACTTGATTTTTTAGATTTTTGAGTACGCAACTGTACTATTGACGCTGGTTACGACCGAAAATTGTGCGTTCTTGAACGGGTGGTGGGAAAATTCTGATTTTTGGCCTAAAAATAGCTGATGTTTGTAGAAATGTAATGGCAAAATCTTAGAATTTATCGAGGTCAATTTCATTTTTTTAGAAGCAAAACAAATTTCACTATTTTGCATCTTTTTACGTTTTAATTCGCAACTCGCTTCAAATTCTCTGCCCATGGCTGATCTTTTGCAAATGGTGTCTCCCAATGATAATCTTTAGCACAACACCAAAATTTACCTGATTCTATGGTATTTTAATATTGCTTGCTAAAACGTGCCCCAGAGGGATACTGTAGTTTTGGTTTTTCGCGTTTTTCTTTTTATCGTATGCTGCGATTTTGCTTAAAATTTTTCCATTGGTAAACACCAGTAAGGGTCACCTATTGGCCAAAGATCGTGGAGTTCTAGCCATATACCTTCCCAAAATATGCAAAAAACTTATTTTTGAATTTAGCCACAGAAATTTCTAAATACTTCGATGCATCGGACTAAAAACTACTATTATTTGTTTTCCCAAAAGATCGAAACGTTTCTATGGTGAAAAGAGCGAGAAAACGACGATTTTCTGTTTTCTACCGTAACCCGCCTGGAGCGCGGTTTAGCATGCCAAGACAAAATGCCATAAAATGCCTATTTTTCTATTCTAGACTGTTCACTGGGCGATTGTAAGAGCACCTACAAAAAATTACTTGATTCCTGTGGTAAATTACAAAGTTATGAGGGAAAGAAGAAAACCCTCCTCGGGGCCCGATTTTGGACCCGAGGCCCCGGGCCGAAAATCGAATTTTTGAAATTGAAAAAGGCACCGGGGTTTGGTGGATACAATTAAAGCACGCATCGAACTGTGTATGGGAACAGAATTCTGGAATGATCTGGTTGAAGTTAATGGTTCATTTTGATTTAAAACCCGTAAATAACGTTTTTGAAAAGCCGACTTTGGGGTGCTCTTCTAAATTCGTTTGCCATGAAAAGGCTTTGTATTTGCATGGGTTCTAGTTGACTACCCAAGCTTGGTCTATGCTAGAAAATTCGAGGCTACTAGAGCTTCGAGAATTTTTTTACGTTGCCTCGAATTCGGGTATATTTGGGCTCTTTCATGAATTTCTTCTGAGAGATTGGATGGCCCAATAAATTAGTAAATATAATCTTAGAATGCGCCAATTAAGTAATATCAAATAAAATTATGACAATAATTTTAGCCGTGCAAATGAATTTTATAGACTGACACGAAGGTCTGCGAAATAGCACGAACCAACCGTTTTGGAAGCGCTAAAAGACAACCTTCCAAAGGGGTACGGTAGCTAGTAATTGTCTACATGATAGATGGACCCCAGTCCTACACAACCAAGCAAAGAAAACACCGAGGTTCTATTCGGAACTTTAGTAATATTTTTCCAAAGTTCAGTTTCGTGACCTCGAAAGAATCCATGACCAAGGGGTCGTCGAAAAACTCAAAAATCCGCGAATCTGAAAAAATTATTTGATATTTTCGCGGGATTGTATCGAGCCTATAGACATGCTAAAACAGCTTATTTTGAGGTTTCCACCACAGGTTTTTGTAATATTCGAAATTTACGAAATTTCTCCATATTAAATTTGAGCACGCTATAACTTGCCAAACTGACCTTCAAAAATTCCAAAATTTTGCATGTATCTATCTAATGCCTACAATATTTTACACAGCAAAAATTAGAAATCCCCTGCCACAGGCGGCTGAGAAAAATACAAATTAAACTTCCCCGAACGCACAGTTTTCGGGTGTCATTTGTATTGATACGTCGCCAAAAATCGAAAAAATCAAGTTGTGTTTAATTTCTTTTCCAGGCCGAGAAAATGGTTTCCAGCCATCAACCCACCATGGATTCGTTAAGGTTCTCGAGATAAACGCGCCCAAACCTGTTGTTTTTTTTTTGGGCCACCCTGTAGAAAAGAGGGACACCTAACTGTAACCCTCTTTTGGTCGAAGTGGAAATTCCGTACGTGAGATAGCACATTTTGTGCAGAATTTTTTGCTGATTCCGAATCCGTTTTCAAAAGTTGCGGAACCCCTCAGATAAAAAAGTTACAAGCGTTTTTAATACCCAAAATGCCACAAATCGCTTACTTTAAAACGTTCTAAAAATTTCGTAAAATACTTTTGGGAGGAAAGTAAAACATTTGCCGGGGTACAAAAACGTGCTCTTTCGAATGGGCTATCTCACAAACCCGTAGCTCGAAATTTCGAAAATTTGGAAAATCGACCATCTTGGGGAAGGGTCCGCCAAACAAAACTTTTTTGCAAATTTCGAGCTACGGGTTTGTGAGATAGCCCATTCAAAAGAGCACGTTTTTTTTACCCCGGAAAATGTCTTACTTTGCTCCCAAACCTATTTTACGCACTTTTTAGAACGTTTTAAAGTAAGCGATTTGTGGCATTTTGGGTACTAAAAAAGCTTGTCACTTTTTAATCTGAGGGGTTCCGCAACTTTTGAAAACGGATTCGGAATCAGCGGAAAATTCTGCACAAGATGTGCTATCGCACGTACGGAATTTCCACTTCGACCAAAAGAGGGTTACAGTAAGATACCGACACTTAAGAGGGTAATGCTCAAAATGCGACATTCAACGTAGTGATGCTCAAAATGCAGATATCCAAGACGCTGATGCTCAGAATACCGACATACGAAAGGGTGATGCTTTAGATGTCGGCATTCAAATGGCTGAGGTTTAAGATGCCGACCCTCAAAAGGGCGATGGTGAAAATTTTTTGAAAACTTTTTCTGACTTTCATGAAGCCTAGCGGGATCGTTTTTGCATCTTAAAGCTTTAAAAGTGGAATTTTCAAGTTGGAGTTGTCGGAAAATGCGAGTCTAGCTTTATTCAATCAGTTTCCATTTCTGAAAAGAAACTAGATCCACAGCATTTCCAGATATAAATAGCTATCCCAAATCAACGTCAAAGTAAGGAAAAAATGTCAAAACCAAACCTCCCAAGAAACCAAATGAACAAAAAGCTCCGAAAATATTTTCTCGTGGAAAACAAAACAAAAAGGACAACCCGAAAATGGCCGAGGAACGTCAACTAAAAATGCTTTCGCTGGGATTGACGTCCCACCCCTGGTCCCGCCTAGATATTCAGAATTGGACTCGGGGAATCCCCCCTCGAAAAAGACGATGAGCCAATTAGACGCGACGATCAAATAAACAGTGCCAGCCTCGTTCCCCTCTCCTTTTCGTTCTCTTGCTCCTCCTCAATCCCGTAAGAGCGTCACCCCTGCCATCCTCTTCCCCTAAATTGCACCCGATTTCCCCTTGGATTTTCCTCTAGACGTTCAATTTTCACCCCGGGGTGACCAGAGAATGGATGTTGGAGAATGAAGTTTGCTCGGGTTTCCGGTCAATGATTGGGGGAATTACGTACTTTAACAGCGCGCTGAAGCCAAGAATTCGATAAAATTCCGAAAATCTATTTATTTAGGGTTTGACCGGGTCGCAAATGTGGCTAATTAACATAATTCACAACTTTAAACTGGGTAACATATTTTTGACGTCTCGACCGAAGAAATGACAAAGTTTAGGCAAAATCGGCTATAAAAATAAAACCCAAAGAAAAAACTAATTGATAAGATTTCTATCCTTCATTTTGTTAATCATTTACAAAATAATTCTTGGAGAAAATTCGTCCATATTTGCATAGCGGTTTCGACAAATTGTTTATGAAAGTTTGTATATCCCACGTTCGGAGCTCATATTTATTTTGACTTTAGGTTTTTATAGTTACTTCTAGATTGTTCAATTACTATTCAATCTTAACTCCTGAATCCTAGCTTAAACTAATTTTTTTGGTAGTTTTTTGGTAGCTTTTGGTAGTTAAGTTTACAGTAAGCTGCTTGGTCATCATAGTTTCCGGAACTACCCGATTTTGAACCATTAATGACTAACCAAATATCTATTTTTGGTTTCGGTTTTAGCACCAGCATCATCTGGCTTCTTTGCTAATTTCCTGCTAAATATGTCGACGACTGAGGTAAATTTAGCTCGTAAGACGTTTCCCGCTCCCGGGGGGAAAAAGCGGCGCCAAGAAAAACGAGACAATTTCCGGCGGGAAACATCGGGTGATGCGTAATCGGAGATTCTGAGCAATTTCGAGGTGACGGACGCAGTATACGCGCCGCGTGTCGCGGTCCCGCAAAATTTGGAAGCAAAGTAGAAAAATCCAAAATACAGCGCTGCCAAGCCTTTTAAAGGGCCTGGGAAGGCATCACTGTTGATCTTATTGTCGATGGCAGCGACAAGCAACCCACAAGCCACACGCCTCGCATAAATCATAACTTTCGGCAGTCTGTCCTTGCCAATCCTTTTAAAAAATAAAAAGTCCGAACCAGAATAGCTTGACCAAAAACCGCCAGCAAATGTAAATTGGTCTGTTTCGACTGGCGGTAGGGCTGGTAGGGGGGGGGGGTGCCCTAAAAATGGAAGGGTCCCATCGTGGTCTAATTGCGAGAACGGCTAGGAGGTGGGGCAGACGCTGGCCACGAAAGCCAAATTTGCATATTTTAGGGGGCCTTTTAAGAGCCATGGGAGGGCGTTGGGCATCGGTCCAGGAAGTTGCAGGTTTTTCGGGGGAATTTGCAGCAAATTTTAATGGCTTAGGCGGCGGGGGGAGGGGTATTTTCGAATGGGTCGATGATCAAAGAACGGTTTATGGAGCAAATTGCCGGAAAAAATTTAGGGAAGCCAAATGGGCAAAAATCTTCGAAATTAAATTTTTTGATTTAATGTGGTTCTTAAGTTGGGACCAAAAAGGACAAAAATCCCTTTGTATGAAGATTTTACATGAAGGATGTAAAAAAAGTCAAAATCGTTTAAGCCATGATAATCACGCGTTCAACCCGTTTTATAGCGCTAAAGCCATCTAAAGCCACTCTGCCCCAACCTCCAAAAGCAATTTCGGAGGAACCCAAGTCTTCTTCTGCCCTTTTTACGCCAAGAAGTTCCCGTCTAATTGAACGCCCCGCTCCAACTGACAGCGGCAAATGGGGAAACTTTTGGCTTTTAAGGTCTGCAGCCGGGGCAATATTGAGACTTTCGAAACCAAGAGATGCGGGTAAATTCTAGGAGTTTCCAGAAAATTCTTTACCTGCAATCGAGGTTCTCCGAGGCGGAGGGCTGACTGTACGACCATTTCCGATGAGGGGAGTGGTTCCTGAAATTAAAAATGATTAACATACGCTATTTCAAAAATTAACTTTCTCGAAAACTCCATTTTCAAAGAACATACTTTGAAAAATTCCCTTTTCAAAATCAGGGATATTGACAACCTGCGTTAAGTTAACAATAAAATAACAATGCAAATTTCGTAACCTGATTTCGAAAATACGACTTTTCTTTTTAAAAACATTTTTTAAAAAGTGATTTTTGGAACCATGACTTGCGGAAGATGAGTTTTCAAAAATTGTATTCGAAAGAACGATCGTCTGCCTAAAAATATCAACCTATGATCAGCAAACGTAATTCAAAGATCCACTATTTAAAAATTTTCGCGAAAGTGACTTCACGGCTCCTTTAAAATCCTTAGCGAAAATCATGATCTTATGCTGTGATACTTACCTATCCCAATCGACGCAAATCCACCCATACTTTTCCTCCGTTTCCGGGCGCTCCGCAGCCTGGCCATCTCCGCGCAGTCCGGCACGGCCAGGGTCATCGAACTGAAAATGACGATGGAATTCGCTGGACAATTCGAAGGCGGCGCATTTTTTGCATTTAAGCATGGCTCGGCCACGCCCCTTCAAACCTGCAATTTTCAAAATTTCCGGGTGTAGTGTACATGCATACCCAAAATTCTCAGACCCACGAAAAGCAGCGTTTTTTTTAATTATGTTCATAGAACCGGAGATTTTTTTGAGATTAAGCTGAATTTTATAAGGCCGGTGTTTTCATAACGACCAATTTTTTAAGCTAGAGGTTTTATCAAGCTTAATTTGATAGTTCCTAACTTTGTATATGAACTAGCAAAATTTTACTGAAATAAAGTTCTTTAGGCAAGTATTCGAATTTTGAGCCTCTAAATCTGACCGAGATCCTTGAGGGATCCAGGATTCGTGGCTCGGAAGTAGTAAAAAAAAATGGGAGTTTCCGGCTGATCCGATGTTCCGGACCCCGGAAAGGTTTTGGGGCGTACAGCCGGTGGCCAGGATTAGTATAGTGCGGAAAATTGCATCCGGACATCAGCACAGTCTGGTCAAATTTCGTTCCGGCGGCGTTATTGCATGTTGAAAAGGGGACAACATGCCTGTAGGCAACGTTAGGAAACGAAAAAGCCGGGTTTTTCAATTTTAACTCGGCAAAAGGAGCTTCAAAAGCGGCATAAGGTGCGTCAGACAAATTCATGCAGTAGCCCGGCGAGTTTCGAGCCCAGGAAATTGGTATATTGATGCAAAAAGCGTCAGAGTTGCGGAGAAAAATCCTAACGTTAAAAAATAATAAAGTTAAAAAGTTTGTACTATTGCTACTGTAATTTTAAAGAACTTACACCTACAAAAATCAAAAAAATAGACTTGTTTTTGCTCAAAAACCAACCCAGATCTGAATCTTTTCATGGCGCTTCTAGTACCAAATCGTTGCAAATATAGTATGTTGTGTATGCGACAGAGGGTGTAGCGCCCGGCTACGCAAGCATACGCAACAGTACGCAACAATACGCCCCGATACGCACCGTCCTTTATTGATGGCGTAGACGCGGGTGTTGCAGCGGTACTGAAACTGCGGCCGGTCGAATGCGCCGAGGGAATGGAATCGACTCTCCAGCGGCATCGTCCTATCTTCAGATTCCGGGCTTCTCCCTCGGCCTCCTCCGCCGCCAAAGCTCGCGCTCCGACGTCTCGATATTTTCCCCCCGCTTTGCCGGCGAGTCCAGCCCTCGTGTAAATCCGCTATTTACGGCCGCACGCGGCTTTAACTATAGACCGGTGGGAATATTTGGGCAGCCAGGGGGGAGTCGCGACTCGAGCCCAGTGGTCGACGACGATTTTGGCCAAACCCCGGCTCGCGAAATTATTATTTTTGGCCGCTCCACACGAGGATTTTCGGGCCGCGCTGTCCCCCTGAAAATGCAAAACCAAATGTACTAGCCGGGGGCGAAAGACGTGATTTGTGAAAGTAACGAAAACACAGAGGACACGTGGTGAAGAAACTGGATTGGAAGGTAAAAAGGATTGTAAAAACCAGGCCTGTTACGTTACACAAGAAGTGCCACAAAGCACTAAAATTTGAATTTTCAAGAAGTAAAAAATATAGGGGTACCACCGACCCAAATTTTAAAAAGTAAAAACCAGCTTTTGTAAAAGATAAAGATCGAATATCAAAAAAGCATAATTGGTTTATTAAAGTTAAAGTTTTTTTAATTTTGTATTGCTCATAAACTGTAAAAGCTTCAAACAGATAAAGATTACAAGCAGAAAAAAATTATAATTTTGTTGTTTTCAATTTAAAGTTTTTTCTTAAACTTTGTGAAGTTTATAAAGTGGAAAAGTTAAAAATTTGTGAGGTATCGGAGTAATAAAGTGAAAAGTCCCGCAATAAAACCAAGAAAAGTCTTTTTCAAAAATATTGCCCCGTGCAGCGGATTTATAAGAATCTAATTAAAAAATCTAATCACCGTACAGCTCTAAAAATCGATAGGTAAGATAAAATTCATCAAGATTGGGAGTATCATAGTACCAGGCAAGCTTTTTACTATTTTCCAGTGCAGGGGCCCGAAAATCTATTTTTAGGGCCCGGCGCCATGTGGCCGGGCCCGAAATAGCGCAGTGTAAATAAAGGTGGCGACATAAAATGCGAGGGTGAAATTGCTTAATTATGAGTATTTAGGTTATAAAAACCGCATCAAAATCTGGCAAAAGTGCGTTCAATTATAATCGCGTGATCGGTTAAGCCAGTTTTTGAGCCGATAATGATGTAAAAATGTATGAAAAACCTAATTTTTAAGGGTCAAAGACGAGGAGCAGCTGAAGTTTGGAAAACCAAAGCTCCAGACAAAAATCCATGAAACGTCTAACAAAAGTTTTCACACTTTTCGAACTCACATGGATCTATAGCGCGGGGTCGGTGATCCGGAAGGCATCCTTTCCGCTTTTCGGGTTCAGGAATGGGTCAGAAAGACGAGACAATAGCGCAAGAATATTAGATCCGACGTCTAGCCTTTCTCGACCTCGACCTAGCAGCCACCTTTCATTGCAGAGCCCAAGCCAGCCGGTCGGTCGGTGATTTTGTTTTGGGTTTTCGCCCGCCCTTGGCCCTGGGGCGTAAATTTGGCTCCGGAAAAAGCGGTTCGGCTAAGAGACAGAGAAAGACGTTTTGAAAGGACGAGCTAGAGGAGGTCACATGTTCCACCCAGGGCGGCTACGTCTCATTCCCCTTAACATTTCGATGGCTAGGAATTTAACGAGGTGGCTGTTAGTAACATTATCTGCTTGTTGTGGGCAGCGTTCGGGGTCCTTCTTCCGTAAGGGGATACTGTAGCGGAACGGAGAACGGTAATATGATACGACAGGGGTGGAAAATCCTCTTTTTTTTGATCGAAAACGAATTTCTGTGATTTTTTTTTATTCACCAAGGTTGAAAAGCCGCTTCGCGACTTTTCAACCCTGGCCCCGTCTAACCCTATGATGTTCTTCGTTTTGCATAATTGTGCCCCAATTCCGATGACAAAAATCAAAAACGCTCCCTTTGAGCCTTTATATAGGCTAGAGCAACTTCCGGCGTATGCTAATTTTATCCTAACAAAGTGGGTGTCGAAATTTTTAAGAAAAACTTAATTTTAATGTCGAAAACACCATATTTTACAAAATCTGATATGTATGCAGTCATCTCCAGCTCCTTACGCATCTAATGACGTATCAAACACCTCCTCAAACCCATCTCCTCTCGAGATATCCTCTGGACACCCTGACGGAAGTTGCATGCAAATGCACACACACACACACACACAAACACTATTTTTTTATATATTTTTATTCATAAAAAGGTGAGGTAAAAAGGGTGGCTAACTGAAGGCATAGAAAGGGTTTCTCGCACCCGCGACACGCAACGCACACGCCACACACACGTCCCGAAACTCAATAAGACGGCGTAACCGTTTACGCAATGCAAACACTGGGGGAGGGTAGCGCAAAACCTATAGGAATCTATGGCCAATATCTCCATGCTCTCGCCTGGCTCGTTCCTTGCATGGCGTAACTACGTAAACGGATGTCGCGGAGCGTATCTGGAGGCATTAGAGTGCGGCTTATTCAAACCGGGTTTGAATAAGATTTCCGTTATTCAAATCAAACCGGTTTGATTTGAATACGGGATCCTTATTCAAGCCAAACCCGGTTTGAATAAGAATTCCCAACTCAAACCAAGCCAAACCGGTTTGAATAATTTGAACAAGGTTTGAATAAGGACCAGTCTCCGAAACAGTCTGTTTTCGGCACCATTTTTTGCGTTTTGGCACCAATCCTTTTGTGTCTTCACTTTAGGGTGGTTGAGCAGCATTCCTGCCAGGTTTTTGGGGTTAGCGGATCATTTCGAGACCTTTTTCTTTCAGCGCTGCCAAGGTTATCCCGACCATTTGGATGCTTGTTAAAGGTTGTGAATGCCAAGCCTATCGTTGAAAAAGTGCGTAAACCCCGTAAATGATGCCAATTTCATCATTATATTGATCACACAAGATTTTAGAAGGGATGCCTCGAAAACTTACAAGGATACCTCCCCAGCTCGAAGTTCGACTTCGGTTAGCTATATAGCCTAGCAGATGTAGTTTTTCGCGCTGATCACGATCCCGATATTTATTTTTGCCCAAATCCAGAGGAACGCTATGAAAAATCATTTTAAACATTACGCATTTTCGCCTGGCTGGGCGTGATCTGCCACAGGCGCTTCAAAGCCTCCTTCCAAGGGGGAGGCATCCATCGGTGGCGTGGTGTAGTCGGCAACTACTTGGTATACCAATATAGTGATCATGGGTTCGAGTCTTGCCGCTGACGACTTTTTTGCTTTTTGGATAAAAAGTGCTGGGAAGGCCGTATAAACGCCCAGTAAAAAATTTTTCATTTGTTTTGCATCGCTTGGTCGGTTTGATTACGATTTTATGTTCGGTTTCATTTTTTTTGGTCAAAGAAAGTTTGAATTATCAAAGGGGTCAATCAGCGGCTTCTAGCGCTTCCTCAAAACTGTTTTGAGTTCCCGAAAAGGAATTTGTTAGGCGTTGTTTACTATCGATTTTGATGTCTAGCGTTTTTCTGCTCCAGGGTGAGAAGGAGAGTTTTTAATGGCACAATTACTCATAATCTTATCAGGTTGCCAAAAAAAATCTGTGTTGTTGCCAAAATGCTTTCTGTTGCCAAATCAATGATCAAGGGGCCAAAAACACTAGAAAAATTGTTACTGGGCGTTCATATGACCTTCCCAGCATTTTTTATCCAAAAAGCAAAAAATTCGTCAGCGGAAAGACTCGAACCCCTAACCACTAGATTGGTATGCCAAGTACTTGCCGACTACACCACGCCATCGACGGATCCCTAGCCCTGGGGAAGGGCTTTGAGGCATGGCGGAAACCCATGGCAAAACTTTAAAGCTATTTTTAACAGTGTTCCTGCGGATTTGGGCAAAAATAAACAGCGGTATCGTTATCAGCGTAAAAAACTGCATCTGATAGGCTGTTTAGCTAATCGAAGCTGCACTTCGAGCTGGGGAGGTATCCTTGTTAGCCGATTAGCATCCATCCGATAGATTAACATGCTGATTTGCCTGTTGTTCAAACCAATTCAAACCAACTCAAACTTGGTCGGTTTGGTTTGAATAACGGATCCTTATTCAAACCAAACCGGTTTGATTTGAAAAGCAGATTCTTATTCAAACCGCCCTTATTCAAATCAAACCGGTTTGAGTCGCGATTTGATTTGAATAAGCCGCACTCTAGGAGGCATCGAGGCGTAGTGTAATTTAGCGAAATTGAAAGTAGTTAATGGGAACGTATCGGAACGGGCTGTAGCGGAATGGAACGTAGCGGTAGGGAACGTAGCGGAATTGAACGTTGCGGAACTGACCGGAGCGTGGCGGAACGGAGCCTTCCGGCACCGAAGGAACGCAGCGGAATGGAACGGACCGGAACATAGGGGAACGAGGAGTAGGGGAACGGACCGGAACGTAGCGGCATGGAGCGTAGCGGAACGGAAGGAACGTAGCGGAATGGAACGTAGTGGAACGGAAGGAACGTAGCGGAATGGGACGTAGTGGAATGGAACCTAGTGGAATGGAGCGCAACGGAATCGAAGGAACGTAGGGGAACGGAACGTGGTGGAATGGAAAGCAGCTGATTGGAACGTAGCGAAACCGACCGGATCGTAGCGGAGCGGGGCGTAGCGGAAAGGCCCGGAACGTAGGGGGATTGAACGGTCGAATACAAGACATACTTACTTTTCTATTTTTACAAGATTTTTTCACAATATAATGATCAAAATAAAAATTAGGCCCTTGAAACTCATTAATACTCCTTTGCGAGTATATCAAAAGCAGCACGCGCCGGGTGTATAACCCGTGGGGGCGGATGAGGGTCCTCTAAGGGCCCCCATCGTTGCTGCTAATTGCCTTAATATTCTTTCAGCGACGTTGTAGCCCGAGAGCGCACAGACACATAGAGATAACTGAAATCCAATTATTGCGGATGGAGGTTGAACCCGCTGGGGGGAAAAGAATTTCTAGAAAACGGGTCAGATTTCGGGGCGGTGGGTTCAGGTTTGTAGCGGCCGGTCTCTTTAAGTGCCTTAGAATTTTTTTGTAGAGTTTAAAAAAAATTAAAAACGCAAACACTACGTCGAGATACGTCTGTTTTTTATTTTGTTAATTTTCACGGCGTCGCATTGACCAACAGTTCGACCGGAAAAAGCCACTTTTTCAGCCGGTTACGGTATGAAAATTGAAAACTTACCCGATTGACCACAATTCGCTCCTATTGGCCTCTTATTGATTTAAAACGAACAATAATTAGCGGATTTCATTGCGTAACTGGATGGATGATGCCCAAACTACCAAAATTAGACAAGATAAAAACAAATCCCAAATGAGTAGATTAAATTGCAAATAAAATGCATATTATCGGTGCTCGAAAGGGTAAATCGAAATTTAAATAGAAAGCTGAATTTTTTTTGGTGTCACACTGCCTTTAAAGTAAAATTTTACCCCTTCTAGTGGCCTTTAAACCCAATTTTCTCCATAGATCACAATTTCGAGCACTTTTGTTGAGACAACGTGTCCACTTTTTCGAATTTTTTTTGTTGCCGCCGGAAACTTTGACGGCTTTGTTTATATTTTGCGTCTCTAAACGCGTTAGGGGTGGCCCTCAAATTTTTTTGGCCTCCCACAAACACTATAGAGAGACGAACATGACAAATGCCCCGCGGACGACAGCAGCCCCCCTTATCCCCCCGGGGTCAACAAATTGGGGCGTCGCGTTTTGGGGAATACGTTATGACTAAATTTAGTCCCTCAAAAGCCCGAAAATAGCCAGCATAACCAACTTGTTGTGCGCGTGCAGCTTCTCGTTACGGCCGTCGTTGATCAGGAAGATCATCGGGTCGGACATCACCTAAAAACAAAGAAGAAAAATCGGAGCGTCGACAGGGTTAGAAAATGGAAAACCGATTTTTTAAAAACTAAAAATTGGCCACAATAAAGATATTTTTTAAGGCGAAACCCGAACTGAATGGTACCAATCAGCAATGAAAACGGCTGATCGATCTTTTTTGCAATCGATTCAGCTCATTCTCTAGATACGATTTGATGTTTTCAATTTAAAAATCTGCCATTTTTGAGGATTTGGCCTAGTCTGGGGTCTGTTTTGCGCGCAGTAAATGTTTTATACCGGAACTAGGGCACTGGAGGGTAAAATGAAAAATACATCATTCAATGCAGATTTTCCTGGCGCATCTTTCTATAGTAAAAAGAAGTTACCCTCGGAAACCCGTAAAATAGAAAATCCAAAATTACTGTTTCGGGTACGCTATATTTCTATGTTCCGCTCATTTTCGTGCTTCACGATGTATTAAAGAAATGATCCCCATCCCAAATTAGGCATTATCACAAATTTTCAGCCAATTTGGTGCAGTAGTTTTCGAGATAATTTTTGAGTGTCTGCAACTTTGAATCCAATTTAAGCCCCAAAAATTAACTTTTTAAACTTTCAAAACTATGCAGCCCTACCAATTCGACCATGCTCTTTCCGATGCCGTCGAAAAAACGGGGTCGAAAAAAACTGTGCCAAGCATTGTGCGGGTCACTCGCAAACGGCCTTTTAATTACAATCTCGGCACAGAAAAAACACGCTTTTTTGGCAAAACGCTCAATATCAAGACACTGCTGAATAATTAATGAACACGAAACCCGTTTGTTTTCTCGCCTTATCGAGAGCCTTCGAATGGCGAAGAAACCATCCGGATCCGAGTTTTCTCCGGAACGCTGGGTAGGGTTTTTTTGGGACACCCTATATTGACTTTTTATCGCATTCTCTTAAAATATATCTATGGCTAAATTTTCTCTTACCCTTTTTTCTGCATTTTTTCTTCTCTAAATAGCTCTTAGAATATATTTCTAACTTCTAAAAGCCTCAATCGATCTTGCAATCTAAAATTTCGGGGGGAACGGCTATCGGTTACTCGTGTTATATTGAAAAAAAATGTTACCGTAACCTGACGATTTTGAACTGTACTTAATTCTGTTCAGATCAAACATTCCGTATCCATAATTTATTTATTACGGTATTGACAAAAAACCTAACCCGTCATAGCTAAACAGCGCCCAAAAAAATACATTTTCCCAGACCCACGTGCTCCCCCCTCCCCCACCCCGAAAAATAGCTGGCAACATCGGCAATCAAAAAAGCTGTTGCATTTCTAAAGCGTGACCTCATGAGCCGGGGTTCGGTTTAGAGGAAACTTCAAAAAGGGCGTCTTTTGCGGGCACCAAAAAAAAGATGACTCCTCCTGGAGGAGCCGCGACAAAAAGCTGAAAGTGGCCCCGCCGCAGGCTGGAGGAGAAGAGTTCTAATTGCAAGTGGCCGCTCCCTATTTCGTGTCCCCATTTGGGGGCAAGCACGTCTTGGTGAAACATAATATAGTCAAGCCAAGGCAAAGTTTGGATCCCTTGGACTTTAAGAGAACGCCCGAATATGCTAATTCCCGGTAGGATCTGGCCTTTCAAAGGAGGGGGTGAAATGCGAGATCCATAGGATTTAAAATGTGAATTTGGCATCTAGGGATTTTACGAATTTCTAAGAACAGGACAAACCCAGGTGTCCCGTTCCCTTTAAAGGGTCAGGGCAAGCTAGCAGTGATTCCTAAAATTTCTAAAGTTCTATAAATGACAATTGAAGTTCCAAGGAGATTTTGAAGTAATACTGCTAGTTTTTAATAACCCAGACATCTATAAAAAACCATGCCCTCTTGGCACGTGGCGCAATCGCAACGCAGCGCAAAGTGGGTAGCGTGTCGCGGCGCGCACACCCAGGAACTACGATAATTGTATGTCTAAGCGTCTGGCTTTAAACTGCATCTTTTGCCAAATGTCCCTAAAAATTAATTTTCCATAAACGCAAGAATTTCCCGATTTTCCCGCGTTACCAACGCCAGGATTCCGGGGATAGGACAATATCGGAATAGCCAGACGTTCCAAGGAAAAAAATTGGCACCTTGGCACGGAACGGATGGCCCCGCGGATAGGTCCATCCAAAATATCAGGAGCCCCAATTCCAGCGGTGCGCTGAGGCAGGCCTCACGATAATTCTGGGCACGAGGATTTTTGGTTTTTTTAGGTGAAGTCTCCCTCCAAAAGAGTTCTATAGAAAAGCGCCAGGCCACTCGAATCGGTCGCGTCCATTTTTGGAGCGCCGATTTAGACACGGGGCAAAACATGTGAAAGAACAAAGATGGCGCAGCTGGGGTTGCCAAGGGTTGGTGGTGATTTTTGGAGTGTTGCCAACTATTTTAAAGCTTTTTAAGGGAAGGAGAAATGCATTAATATGGCATTTTTCGGGTTTGAGATTGCTCTATGGATTTTCGGCACCACGACACGACAACGCGTACGCAGGCCTTTTCCTTGCGTAATGGATTCAAATCTTTCAAGGCGACTAAGCGGCGCGTGCGCGTCGCGTGTCGCCGCATGTGCATTAATTTATAGTATAGCAAGAATTCATAGTTTTAAATAAAATCCGTTCTTTGGTTTTTGACCAAAAAACCAGGCCAAATTAGAAACGCAGAAGAACGTGGAACAGAACGAGAACTGAACAAAACCGACAATAGCTCGACGGGTCCGGCCAGCAGCACCCCATAACATTATTCGAATCGTGGGCCGTTTAGTGGCTGGGTGTCGAGTGTGGGCGCGGGCCAAAGGAGCGGAAGTCGGGCCGTCCAGTCGAGATTGAATCTTTCATATGGCCGCCCGGGGTGGCGATTGGCATACCGGATGGATGGCTATGGACTTGAATGTGGGCGAAATTTAGATAAATGTTTTGGCTAGGCTTAGCTTAGGCTTGGCTCAGGCTTTGCTTAGGCTTTGCTTAGGCTTGCGTAGGCTTTGCCTAGACTTTCCTTAGGCTTAGCTTAGGCTTGACTTCTAAGCATAGCTAATCGTAACTACTCTAGCTTTGCTAATTTTACGTCCCGAAAACCCAATAAAATTTGAAGACTGGTCAATACGAGGCGGAAATTTGATTCACCGGCCGGTTGATTACGCGCCGGATATTAGCAGATAGGCGTACGAAAAATGCCGGAAGTGTGTAACCCAATTTCCGCTGGTAAGGAGATTTTTAAGAATCGAGAAAGTGGCCATGCAAAATGCAGGGTGCTGAAGTCAGAAATGTTTCTAGTTAGTGGAGGAGTTGAAATTACATTTTTTTTGGGGCCACGTAAATTTGCTTTCCACGAAAACAACATTTTTCTGGATTTCCCAGCGGAGGTGGATTTAAATTCAAGTATTTTTAATTCATGGAAAAGGCAGTCCTGCAAGATTTGGCGAATTAAAAAAAAAGTAAAATTGTTTCATTCATAAAATGTCATTTTTGTTCGGGGGATAATTAGGAGAACACATGGTTTTTTGGTTTAAAGCAACTTTCTTTTGGTCCAGTAGTTCGAAACATTCTGTAGTTTATATTTTAACGAAAATACCGTAAATTTTGAGAAGGTATATAGCTCTTTTAATTTAAACGTAATAAGCCACGCCCAGGAAAAAATAGGGACGTTCCGCCAGACGACCGCTATGGCCCTGATTCAATTTGTTATGATCCAAATTTTCGGAAGTTCCGGAAAACCGGAAAAACCACGGTTGGGCACCCCCAAAATTTGGGCCCTAAGCCGTGCGGGCCCGGTCGAAAAAGGTGTCCATTTCTGCGGAGCCTCCCTACACCCACCAAATGCAATCATTTCCGGGCAATCAGGTTATTTTGCGGGTTCTGCAGGTCCACTGGGAGGGCGGAGAAGGGCTGTGAAAACGGGCTGACCGGAGTTGACCAAAAGTAGTCCGGTGTTGGCTACGCGAAAATGCTATTTCCAGGTTGGGGAAATACGGGTGCGTTTTGGGCTTCAGGTCTGGGATATACCTAGTCTTTAGAGAATTTGGAAAGTGAATTTGAAGGAGCCGATCGAAAACCGTCGTGTGGTTCAAAGTTTGGAGGTTGCTAAATTTCAATCTTCTTTTAAATCTAAATAGCTAAATTCTTTCAATTCACAGTGTCTAGTGTAAGGACTACTTAACCTAGAAAATTCAGCCCTAACCTGGGTAGTACAGACAATAATCCGTTACGTTGTTCCGAGTAGCCCCTCGGAAATCCCATCGACTTTCAACCCCCTCCCCCTGCCGCGACTTTGCATTTTTTCCTCCTAACTTCCAGTGCTTAGCCGGTCATTTTATTCGCGAAAAGGCAGAAATTCTAGCCCCCGAAAAGGACAATGTTCCCACGCCGGGATTTCCGGCTCGGCAGCGTGTGAGGCGGCAAGCGCTTCGGCTGACTTGTTATAGTGGAAAGCTGGCCATTTTCTGATTGAGACGAACGGCCATTTGGGTCTCATAGGGCGAGAGAGAGAGAGAGACAGAGAGAGAGAGAGCGAGAGAGAGACAGGGAGAGAGAGGGAGAGAGGGAAGGAGGGCGAAACAATTGAGAAGCAAGAAAACCGCTTGAGATTGAAATCGAGCACGCCTTTAGGACAATGGATGCGATCGTAACATTGTAAAAAGATATTTTCGATCTCAAAATTTACCAAGCGGCAGTCTGGCAGAGTTTCTTGAAGAAAGTGTGCAGCTATTTGCTAAAGTTTCTACCATTTCCATTTTCTACCTAGTTTCAACTTGTACGTGACGAAGCCAACGACCTTCTATCTTACCAGCGGCCTTATCTAAAGTGGTGCTCGCCTTTTTTGTAGTTTGTAGTCCACAAAGTTTAAAATTCAAAAAACAACGATTGTCCTCTCACAAAAAAAGTGGACTCCGCAGGCTTTTGCGGAAAAGTACGCAATTAGGTGGCCATTCTTCGGCGACTTCCGGTGTGGGGGTGGTGGTTCCGATGGATGTGCCGAGACTGGATCTTCACTGCCAACTTTTAGGTTTTCAAGCTTTTCATGGGTATTATTTTTGCATACTACGAAAATTATATAACAAGATGTTTGAGCACCGGATGGCTCGACTGGTAAGTTAATATAAAAAAAATTGTAAATACAATCCATATTTTAGCCTCTGGATAAAAAAAGCAGCCGGGCCTTGATATTGATTATCAGTACATTTACGTATCTACTATTTGGAGCCTACGTTTTTGATATATTAGAATCAGAAGCAGATTATGAGGTCAGGAAGATACGTTTTTACAATTTCAGTAACCGAGGCCTTTAGTATATTCATATTTTTAGCAAAGAGATGAATTAATTCACATCAAGTATCTAATGCATAGAAAATATAATTTTAGCGGAAAGTAAGTTTTAATTTTTAATTGGTTAAACCCAAGTTCTTAAAGAGATATGGAACTTTTTGAAACTATCGTCATCAAATCGATCCCACACAAAGCGGGGCGCCAATGGAAATTTGCCGGAGCTTTTTACTTTGCGGTGGTGGTGATTACTACTGTAGGTCGGATAAATTTTTGAACACAGAACCTATCTATATTTGATTAGGTTACGGTCATTCAGCGCCGGAAACTACTGGAGGTCGATTGTTCTGTATGCTGTTTGCGTTGGCTGGTAGGACAAAGCCATAATTTTTTTTCCAAAACGGTGAAAGTTCGAGTCAAAAACGTGAATTTTTATTTTTCAGGGATCCCACTCGGTTTGGTGATGTTCCAATCGATTGGCGAGCGTATCAACACACTAATAGCATTATCCTTGCATAAAGTTAGTTTTTACCGTTAAAAATTAAATTTTAAAGGTTCTATTCGTTCCAGACAAGAAAAATTTTCATTATTTGTCGCATAATTCATAAAATGACTAGCTAATGGAATGATTTGAGCCCTATTTCTTGATTGTCAAATAAAAAAATCGGGCGTCTTTATATTTACTGCATTATTATCTATTATTACCCGTGCAGTTTTTACAGTTACCTTAATTTTTAGATGTTTTTATGGTATAGTTCGTTCAAGGCGTTTTTGCCGGCCTTTTCGGGCTGCCTTGCTTTTGCTGCCAGCTATATAGAACCAAATTGGCTCAATTTTTAGAATATGAGTCCCGTGTGGTGCTCCAAAAAACATGCGAAAACAAGCCCCTCTAGATTCGCCTGCTCCTTCGATCTTGCGGATTCCAAATTCTCCCCGAAATCACCCCAACTCACCTCATCATAACGTCACTGTCCATTGGGACTACAATTATTGTCGTTGGCACCTATGTTTTCCATCGGATGGAACGCTGGACCCTATTTGAGGCCTATTACTATTGCGTAATCACTTGTAAGTACGAAGCTGCTATAAAACTATCAAAACATCTAGTGTCAACGATCGGCTTCGGCGACTACGTACCACTCCAAAAAGAGGGCATACTACAGAAGAATCCTGCTTACGTGGCGTTTACATTGTTGTTTGTACTCACTGGACTTGCCGTGTTTTCGGCTTGCGTGAATTTGCTGGTTTTACGGTAAGTAAGTAGCGGAATTAAAGGGGGAGTGACAAATTATCATAGCTTTTCGCTATATTTTTTTTGTATTAAAAATTGTTAATTATTGATGATCACTTAAAAAAACGCTTAAACTTTATGCTTAAATTTTTAAAGCAGCCATTTTCACTTTTGAAATTTGTTCTGATTTTTACAGCTTCATGGCATCAAATACCGATGCGGTCTCTGCTGCGGCTAGAGAACCACCAAAAACCGTCGTTTTCGAGCAGTTCAGTACGTTCCCCCTCCTTTGTTCACCTAACACCGCTCTTAGCTAACTCTCGTACTGGCCTGAATCGCACCTGGGACCCGCAGCGGAAGACGTCGGCTTATTCGTCAACTTTTAGGGTAGTTCTCGGTCATTTGAATCATAAAGAATTTTCTCAGTCCTCAATCGTGTCCGCCAATACGAATACACGAGATTTTTCGCGACTACGGAACTTTCCAAAATTTCGGTAAAGACTTTCGGCCGGTCAGCAACTAAAAACTTCTTAGAAAAATCACCTGCTGCAACTGCACCCCAGAAAAACCGAAAATCGATAACGACATGGCGCCAAAAATCGAATTTACCGTGAAGAGGCCACCCACGCAAAACATTGACCATTTAGTTCGATCGGCGTCGGAGAGGAATAAATAGTATAACTGCAGAAATACAGTAAAACGCAAAGAAACGGCCTGTGTTAAAGCATACATTCTTCTCACCTTCCAAGCTATCGAAGACTTAAAAATAAATCCCGCTATATAAAATGTATTTATATATATTAAATGTATTAATGCTGTTTCGATTTTAGTTGCTAGTAACGACTAAAAATCCGCAACATTCGATCAATAGCAGCCCATCTTTTTTGCGCCCTGTTGCACTTTAGAGCGCCGCGTAAACAACAACTTTCAGCTGGCGCTGGACAGGGTGAGGTAAACAAGACACTGGCCCTCGATTTCAGTACCCCTTTCTGAATTCTAAGCCCATTTTTGAGCTCTTTAAATAATGTCTTGCTGTGAAAATGATAGTCCAGGTTATGCCACTCCTCAAGAAGCTATGGAAAAGGTAGGGAAAAAATTTTTACGCCGAAAATCGAAACGTTACAAAGTTTTAAGAGTATCTATGCCTTCCAGAAAATTCACTTACGCCTGAACTTTTCTTAACTCAAAGCTAATTTGATTTTTTCGTAAATTACGATAAACGAATGTATTTTAGGGACCTCGTGAAAAATTGATGATCGTCACCACCCCTCACGTCGATGCCGACAAGTATGATGCGATTTGCACGGTGGACGTAGACCCGGAGAGCCCGAATTATTGCCAAGTAAGTTAATTTTGTTCAATATTTTAATATTATTTTAAATTTAGTTTAATTTTGGTTTCTATATTATTGTAAATTTGAAATTTTTTAATTTGATAATGAGCTTAGTATTATTTCTTTATCAGGTAATTTCAAAACTCGATATGCCGTACAAGGACGATGAAGTCCATCACACTACTTGGAACGCTTGCTCGTCTTGTCGGGGGAAACCGGGGGCAAAGAGGTAAAAAATCTAACGTTTTAGTTTTGATTTTTACAAACCGCACATTAAAAGAAATATAATACATTTCAGAACTCACTTAATCCTGCCTTGCTTAACTTCTGATCGGATTTACGTGGTCAACGCCGAAGATCCGAAGAATTTGAAGCTGGAAAAGGTAAGTTGCTTTTTTACGCAAAGACTTTACTAGAGCTTTTTAGCATCTCAAGGCCAAAAATTAATCGAAAAAAAAAACAATAAAAACAAGTATTTTTACAGACAATCTTCTCTCACCAACTTGCCGGTCTCGGCGTCTCATTCCCGCACACTCCACACTGCATTCCGGATGGGAATATAATGATTGGAACGCTGGGAGATGCTCAAGGAAATGGACAAGGTCAGCGGAAATCGCTCAGTTTGCGATGGTCTGAGCTATTTAGGCAATTTTATCTTGGTTGACGGGAAAGATTACCAACCGGTTAGCCGATGGTTGAAAGGAGACGAGCAGTTGCCGTTTGGGCATGCTTTTTGGTGAGACAAAATGATGGAAGGAGCCTTAATAACCTGATTTTCGGTATCAACCCCGTCAAAACGTGATGATATCGACAGAATGGGGAGGGCCGAACACGGTTAAAAATGGCTTTAATCCGATGGACGTGGCTTTAGGTGATTTTAAGCCTTTAAAGAATTAATTTACATTTGTGCTAAATTTTAACTGATTTCGTATTGTATTTTATTTATTATTTATTTCTGATTTAACTCTTTTCTAGGTAAGTACAGTCGCAGCGTCAACGTTTTCAACTGGGCGACCAGAGAAAAAGTGCAGACTATAAAGCTAGGCTTGCCGGAGGGATCGATGCCGTTTGAGGTAAGCCTTAAATTTCCGTCCTAATTTGCAATAGAAAATAGATAACACAAAAGGACAACGCGTTCAATTATTAAAAATGTTGTGTTTAGAATCCTAAAAAAGTCTTCAAACTATATATCTTAGATTCGCTTCCCACACGACCCAAATCGGCCGGACGCGTTTTTCTGTACCGCACTTGGGTCCTCAATTTATCGCATGACCCCGAAGGAAAAGGTGCCTTTTTGCAATATTAATATTTTTTATTGAAAATATTTATAATACAAATGGTTGATAAATATATTTATAAAAGATTACAAATATTAATAACCACCAACCTAATAATTAACAACCTTTTTAGGGCTCCCTGCAATACGAAGCCACTTGCCTCATAAAAATCCCACTATTGAGCGTCTCCAACTGGGACCTCCCATTAATGCCTGCGTTTGTCACGGATTTACTTTTGAGCATGGATGATCGGTTGATTTTATTAATATTTTAGCTTCACTTCTGTGCTTAATTATGAATTTGTGTTTTAGATTCCTCTATTTCACAACTTACCTCCACGGAGACGTTCGACAGTATGATATCAGCGATCCGGAAAATCCAAAACTGACCGGACAGGTTTATCCATAATTTTTCCCGGCATACCCCATAATTCTCAGATTTTCCTTGCAGGATTGGTGCAAAATGACAGTGAAGTCAAGGTGAAATCGGATGATTTTGTGAGTTCCATCCTGTCCAGATTTTGTTTGGATAAGGAGGCCTTCGAGATACCTAAAAGGCAGAGTACCTCGCAGTTTTTTCAAAAATTACTTGTAAGAACATTATTATGAAAAGCTACAAGAATGTTGAGTTTTTAGACACCGCCACCTCCAATCTGCATCAAGGGCAAACGAATCATTGGCGGACCGCACATGCTTCAACTGAGTTTGGACGGGAAACGGCTCTACGTATCGCTATCACTTTACAAGTATGATTTGTAATATCAATCCAGCTACGGTTTACTTTGCCCCCAGCCGGAAGTTTTTAGCTCTAACCTTTTTTGCAGTATTGTCGGCTCAAATTAAAACTCTTAGTATTTTTTCGACGCTCTATCGATTGGCGTTGCAAAAATCCCGACAAAATAGGCGAAAATACCGGGGCGGGGGGGTGCGTAAGGTAACCTCTTACCATTAATCTCCCATACTTGTTAACTCCAGACCTTGGGACCGACAATTCCACCCAAAACTGCTCGAAGAAGGTGCCTGTATGGTCCAAATCGACGTGGATCATGTGAATGGTGGCATGACGTTGAATGAGAATTTTCTCGTGGATTTTGGAAAGGTATTCTTGTTTGCGACCACTACTTATCTTCGTTGAGGTGGACGGAGGCCCGTATCGAGCACACGAAATGCGCTACCCCGGAGGCGATTGTACATCAGATGTTTGGGCTTGAATAAATCCCTTTTTAAAGTTGCTCCTAGAAAAAACTAATATTTGAAATTTACAAAAAGGCTAATGTTCCGGTACTTCTTATTGTCCTGATGTTGGTAACCCCCGCAATTACCGTTGGCCGTTACTATTTAGCGTTGTAACAATAATCTTTGAAAGTGAAACTTTTTATAAAGTATATATAATACCAAAAATACTCCGAAAACCCGATCAAAGGCATTTATGCTTTTTGTACATCGAAGTTCAAGCTAGGAAAAGCATAAAAAGGGAAAAATGTACACAAAAAAAATATCATTGGTGATTCCTTCGGCTCTTACTCATCGATTCGAACAGCTTGAAGCCGCCCCACTAAAATCAGGGCATAGAGCGCAGAAGTAATAATTAAACTTTAAAAGTATTCCTTAGAGCACAACGCTACTTTACGTTTTCTTAAATCCTCATTAAATTATTATAAATCCATACGAGCGCCGCTCCAACAACTCCTGCCACCGTCACCCATTGGCCATATTGCGCTATTGATGCGTAGTGGGCTTCGCATTTTTCGATAAACCACGCGAGCAGTTCCTGAAAAACCCAAATGCATATGCTTCGGTTTCCCTTTTCTACCGCGATCAATGGCACCAATGTTTGCCGAAAACACGCAACACCCTGCAGGGCGTTACAACATCCGGGGTGTCCAGCCAACGCTCCAATCCTGAGCACATCTTCAAAAATTTTCTGAAAAAAAAAGCTTGAGCCTATAGGTATTGCTGTCACTGGCAGTCAAATGATTTATTTCGGTGTTTCTGCGTTATTGAGGGGGGTGCTATCAACCTTTTCCCTTACAGCCGTTCCTTGTTGGGATGCTATGGGATCGTTTATCATATAAACAAACCCGATTCTTCGACATTTATCTAAAATGTTTCTCTGTCCTATTTTTACCTACAAATCCTACTATATCCTACTATATATAAAAAATAGTGTGTGTGTGTTTGTGCCACTTTGCATGCAACTTCCGTCACCGTGTCCGGAGGATATCTCAAGATGGTAAGGGCGTTGGGCTACTTATGATACGTCATTAGATGCGTAATGGCCTGGAGATACCTGCACGCATATCATATTTTACAAGTTAGGCTATTTTCGACATTAAAATTAAGTTTTTGTTAAAAAATCGGGTAGCCTTTTTGTTAGGAAACAATTAACATAGCCCGGAAGTAGCGCGAGCCTATATTTTGGGGCGGGGAGAAGTGATTTTCATTTTTTCTTTGTTATCGGAATCCGAGAGCTTTATGCAAATTGACGAATGCCATGGGGTTACACGGAGGCCAGGGTTGAAAAGTCGCGAAGCGGCTCTTCAACCCTGGTGTGCATTAGAAAACTACAAATTAAGTTAGTCGGTCAAATTTCAGTTTTTCAAATGTATTAGATGGTTTTCATTACAAAGTTATCGTATTTCCTCTACAACAATTAGTGTTTTTCTCAATATTTTTTAATTTCAATATTCGCTAAATTAGTATTTCCTCCACTTTTCTCTCCCCAAAACTTTTTTCGAAGCTCCCTCCAACACAATCCCCCTTCTCAGAGGCGAGTCAAAAAATATAACCCTGTTTTAGATTAGAGTAAATACGGTAGCCATCCTACTATATATACAGGGTGTCCCAAAAAAAATCGACCCCCCTCTAGCGGGCCGCAGTCATGTCCGATTTTGACGATTTAGATATCTATCGAAAGCACTCGAAAAGGCATGCAAAATCGGCATGTTAATTGCTTGCTAAAGCAAACAGGACGATGCTGGTTTTACGCTTTTTACAGAAATCATTGAATATCGAGCGAAGGCTAAAATTTTTTGGAAAACCAAAGGCGCTTGTTTTCTCACCGTTTGAAGGGCTTTCGAATGGTGTGAAAATCATTCCGATCCGAGCTTTCTGCGGTCCGCTAGAGGGGGATCGATTTTTTTTTTTGGGACACCCTGTAAAAAATAGTGTCTGTGTGTCTGTGTGTGCCACTTTCAGGAACGTAGCGTAATACAGGCCCCGGGGGCCCGGGCCCCCCCCCCCCGAAATCGGCCGGGGCCCGAAAATTTCATAAGGGGGGACCCTTATGATTTTTATTTTCTCAAAAATTTTGCTGCCTGCGGCGCTATTTTTTCACGTTTTTACTGCTATTTGTAGAGCTGCATAGCCTTTTTTTCCAAAATTTTTCGCCTGCGGCGCTGTTTTCTCGTTACTTTTTGAGTTTTTCGAAAAAATTTTTTCGGGGCCCCCCGAAATTTTTTCCTGGCTACGCCCCTGGCCACTTTGCATCCACTTCCGTCTGTATGTCCGGAGGATATCTCAAGAAGGGACGGGTATTAGGCTACGTATGATACGTCATTAGGTGCGTAATGGTCTAGGGATGACTGCACACATATCAGGTTTTTAAAAATTGGCCATTTTCGCTATTAAATTTAGGTTTTTGTACAAATCTCTTTGTTAGTAATAATTAGCATAGACCGGAAGTGGGCGGTTGTCTATATAAAGAGGCAGAAAGGGTTGTTTTTCATTTTTTTTGACTTTTGAATGAAGGACAATTATGCAAAGGGCGGAATAGCATGGGGTCCAAGACGGGGCCAGGGTTGAAAAGTCGCGAAGCGGCTTTTCAACCCTGGTATTTTACTAAAAAACTATATTCCTTATTTACTGCACCCGGACGCACTTCGAAAAAAACTTGCTTCCCCGACCAATCTTCTATAAAATTCCTACCAAGTAGTGATTGAGCCGGTCGGTGAGGTACTCCTCGTAGGTCTGCCTTGCCTTGGCAAGCTTTTCTTCGGTGTCGACCCCGTGTCTTTGCTAAATGTCGGGCGTTAATAAACCTTCAGTTAACCTTGTTAAGGTTATAAAGTTCATCATTAATAAATAATAATGTGCAGTTATAGAGCTTAAAACCATTAACAACTAAGGAACGAAATAGCTAAACAAGCAAACGGCCGACCTGCTCCCCGACTTTCCTGCCGTCTTCCAAAAACAGGTGCTGTAGTTTCTTTTTGATATCGGCTAGCATGCGCGCTATTTCTGAAGCTTTCATCAAGCTCAGTGTTGCCTGGAAAACGTGGGTTTGGATTTTCTTGTTCTCAGTTCTAGAAAATTGCATTCGCTTACCTTGCGCAAGTCGAATTCCCAGAGCGCTTGAGCCATGCACGGGCCCATATCCATTTTCCTATAAAAATTTTGTTATTTTAGGTTAGCAAATAACTAAAAGTAAACTGGAAAGAGAAAGGTTTTCTGCGGCCTTTCTGGAAAAACCTCGGGCAAAAGATGAGGCAAAAAATGAGGGCGCTAGATTTCAAGGCCTCGTAAGCGTATCGATCGACATCGGGCATAAAAGCAGCTGGCGCTCCCACGGCTGGGCCGTTCCTTTCCTGAGCAGTACTAGTCCAAGGCTGACCCCGCTCATGTGAAAATTTTAGAAACTAATCGCGGGCGTCTTTGAGATATGCGTTGCCAACTCGGCCGATCTTGTATTATGGACGCTTGGTGGCGGCCCTGGCAGCAATTTCTGGGATTGTTGGAGCTGCAGTGGTACAAAAAAAATACCTTGTAAAGACCTCGCTGTAAATCCATAAAAAAATAAAGTCGTCTCTAGGTCTGGGATCATACTAGGGCCACTAAAAAAACTTTTTCAACATTTTCCAGTAACAAATTTAGTGGGCTGCCTTGAAGATAACGAATTCGAGCGGCACCGATGATGGGAACAAAGAATAGTTTGCATAAATGTCTTGTTAACCACGACTGACGCCAACCATTCAGTCTTCTTTTTCTTGCACCGAAACTAAATCACACCACACCGCTGTGTAACACCTCAACCGGAATCAGAAGCTTAAATGTTTTGAACTGGCTTGCTACAAGGACTTCTGGATTCTGGATTGTCCTCTTGTTTTCCAACATTGGGAAATTCGAAAAAGTTCAGGGTACACATCGGGCAGCAAAAATCTATATAAAAAATATCGAAACTTTACAAAGTTTTAAGACTATCTTTGCCTTACAGGAAATTCACTTACGCGCAGGGTTGTTCGTGTTGCGACCGTTATTCCCATAATCCAGGACTCTTTCTGACAGAATTTCGATTCAGGGCCAAAAATTAGGCGGATCTGCCGTCTGGAGCCATATCCGTACTTGCCGCCGAGAGCTGATTTCCGCGGGAAATTATAACTTTTCGTCGGAAAACCTCCAAAAATCGGGGTGACCATAATAAGCTTGTTTGGCCATTCCAGGTGGCGAACGCTGAGTGGTACACGTCCGCGTCCAAACGCCATTTTGGGCCCAGCAACCCGGGAATTACCGTAGCTGGGGATTCGAATTTCATTTGGCCAACCACCGCTTCTCCACTATTGTTTGTCCGTATTTTTAGTTGGTGAATTTTTTGAGCTTTTTTGAAGAAGCGGGTCCGAAACGCCATGGACAATCCGTTATCCGGCATGGATTTGGGGCTGGTGAGTTCTAAAAAAAAGAAGCATGAACTTTGTTTTTAAACAAAACCGACTCCTGTTTCAGCAGGCCCTGAAAGCGCTCAAGGTCGAGGACATCGTCGAGATAATTAGACTCGTGATATCGATCTTGGAGGAGCATTTCCGTAGAAAAGGCGAAGCCGAAAGTGCGCAGGTCTGTGATACGACACAAGCGCTGCAGCATATTAAGAAACACTTTTTTTAGCAAAGATAAATAGACCGGCTCAGGAACCAACATTTTTAGCGAAGCCGAAGCGTTGACTCTGCAGGCCAGCTGACGCCGGCACGCCAGGCCTTGGAAGCTTGGCTGCGGCGTCAGATGGACGTCTGCGTGGTATGTTGCGCTTGTTCGAGTCAAACCGATGTCACCTAGAGTCTCCTGGATGTGGTGTTGCGCGTTGGCGCAATGGCCGGTCATGCGGTCTGCTGTAGGCTAGATGTCCACCTGCCAAAGTTAATTCGCCTTCTAACGCCGATGGTCACGGTGATTGCTGAGATACCGTATTTCCTCAAACGTAACCCGCCCTCTATTATAACACGTCGAAAAAAATTTTAAGTTTCTTTTAAGAAGACAAAAATTCCAAAAAGTTTCTGTGGAAACTCCGTGCCGTGTTCCCGTGTGATTGTGAGCAGTTTGTACTGTTCAAACTCTTTGTAATTGCTCAAAATCATGAAAAAGATATCTCTCCCTCTAATACAACCCCCTCCCTTGAGGCGATTCAAAAACAAATATAACCCCCAGGGTTATAGGTGGGGGAAATACGGACTACGGTTCAGTTTACCCCCCCACCCCACGCCCAGACCAGCCGCTCAGCCATAAGACCTACTAATGTGACGTGTTCCTCAAAATGTTCGCTTGGTCGAAAACCGCTAGAAACATTGTTTACATGCGCCGAAAATTGTTAGTAAAATCTAAAGTAAGTAACTATAGAATACCCGGAATTAAAATTGTTACGAAAATTTTGCAACAATTTTTGAACTGGCTGAACTCTAACAGAGATACGATATGCTTTTTTTGTTAATGTACTTTCTAGAGAATTCTTGCCGACTTTGTTGAGGCGTGCCAGGCGAACTTTCCCACGTGGGCCACCTATGCAAAATGGGCGGCTGTGGCTGGAGTGACGGGTGTGGCCCTCGTTTATGGCCCTGGCTGGGTGCGAGGGTACGTTTAGCTCGTGTCGAAGAAGCTTTCCGTTGTGCTTCCTTAGAATTGTTTTTAGCGGAATGTTTGTGCTTTCCGTGGCCCAGTGGTTCCAGCCAAACGAGCCGCCGCAACGACAGGCTCGCGGAACTACGGGACGGCCCGGTCGTTGAAAATAAACATTTTTCTGTTAAACTTGCTTTCTGTTGTGAAACCGGCCTCCAATGCCGTCCATTTCTTTTTTTTTTACAAGAACATTTTTTGTTATACCTTCTCATGACCTACAGTTCAAGCCAAGCGCGGAAAAACCCAGGCGTGTGAATCCGCGCCGCGTTCATGCTGATGCCGATCGATGCCCATGGAAGCGGGCGTTGAATCTATTTCCCAGAGCCTTTTTGCCCTCCTTTCGCCCATACTTCTTTGGGCAACGGCTTCGCACATTTCCGCATTCAGATTTTCTAGAGTTGTTCATTTTTTCAGGGCAATGAACATGGGCACCAGTTCCATGACCGATCTACTCCAGGGGTTTGACCTGAGCACGGTAAGCCACTGAAGTCATTTTATTGTGACAGTTTCAACCTACAGTCCGGTCTCGAGTTTTTAGACGTCTAGGTGTTCTCAGAATTTACGATGCGATAGCTCTTTCGATAGAGCCGCAAATTCGGAACAAATCCCGGCTTTCAAAAACTGCTGAACGATTACGGGTTTTGGAGCAAATTCGCTCTGAAAGGGCCGGTTTTGAGCCATCTTTGGCCCCGCCTAACAAAATTCAGACGTAGTGAAACTTATTCTCAAAGTTTGTTATCGTTCAATAGTTTTTGAGGACTGCGCCCTGTTTAGAATTTCAAGCTCTATGTAATGAACCATGTCACATAGCAAAATTCCAATATCACCTAAAAACGGCTCTTTGTTAGCTTAAAGCTCCTATGGCTGAGCTTTACGAAACGCGGGATATTTTCGTGAATAGCACATTTTTAGGCTGCCTTCAAGCTTCTGACAGCCGCCGAGATGCTGAAAACTATTGAGGAAATTAAGCAGCGACTCCGGGACCGCTTTTTTGCGGATGCGAAAAAAACCGGGGAGCAGGTTGGCGATTCGGGGTTGTAATGTAGACCGTTTCCAACACCGAAATGTTTTCCTCTAGCAAAGCCAAGGGGTGGACTCCGAGATGAAACTTGTGACCGCCAAGCAGGGCTTTGAGCAATATCTTCTCGACTTACTGAACTTTTACCTGGTGGGGCTTATTTTCGTTGTGCTTCAGATTAGGAATTTTTAACGCTCCAAATACATTCTGCCACATGTTATAGCCGTTGTAATTTGCGCCATGCCATTTATCCTGATTTTTTAAAGGATATTTTCGAACGTGTGCTACATATCGCGGCCATGGCTGGGCACGCCGACTGTTGTGCCGTCCTCGTGGGCGTATCCAGCTTTAGAGGAATCTTGGTGCCCTTATCCGCGGTAAACGGAAAATACACAACTAGGCTTGCGATTTTTACAGAAGCTCCTCGCGTGGTTCACCGAGAAATGCCAAGAGAATTTCGCGTCGATCGTTGAGTACGGGACGTGGGCGTTGGTTGCGGGAACGGTTGGCGCGGCGCTGGTATCGATTTTTAATGCATCCTACTATATATAAAAAAATAGTTCCTGTGTGTGTGTGTGCATTTGCATGCAACTTCCGTCAGCGTGTTCCAGTAGTATCTCAATAAGGGGGGTAGCTAGGGGTATGTTTTATACCTTATTCGATGCGTAATGGCCTTGAGATGACTGCACACTCATAAAATTTGTAAAAATTCGGTGTTTTCGATGTTAAAATTATGTTTTTTGTTGAAAAATCGAGAACCCTTTTTGTTAGGAAACAATTAGCATACGCCGGAAGTTGCGAAAGCCTATATAAGGGAAGTGAGGTAGCGTTTCTCCTTTTTGGTCACCCAAAATCGCATGAATTATGCAAAGTGAGGGTTATCATGAGAACAGACGGGGGCCAGGGTTGAAAAGTCGCGAAGCGGCTTTTCAACCCTGGTTATTCATAATTTAATTAGCTTCACCTAATAGTAATGCTTGCATTATCTTCAGAAACCGACGTTTCATTAACGATATCTTCAAACGGATTCCTCTGTACGTCAATTTTAGTGGGGCGGCTACACACTGCTCGGGGTGATGAATAAACGGCGAAGAAATCAATAATTGGATTGTGCTTGTCTGGGTTTGTTCTGGTTTCAATCCTCTTGTTCAACAAGCTATAAAATAAATGGTTTTCTTGGCCGATTTTCCCCGTCAAACTCAAGCGCAACCCACGACCCAAAATGCAAACAAAACGCGCTGGCCTACCCTCGGAGACTTTTCTGGCAATATCAAATTCTCATTTCCGACAAAAACAATAAAACTTGCAAAAACCCGAAAAGTTTGCTTACCGGATGTAATTCAGCCCGCATGACTTCACGACGGCATTGCGAATTTTGGATACCTGTGCTCGCGACGTCATTTGGTCAGAGTTGTGTCTGGGATTTAGGTCCTTATCAAGAACAAGCCAGCTCTTTCGTAAGGCAGACCTTTCAGACAAGTGCCCGTTCATTCTTATGTGCAATCGGAGCGCCTGGACGAATTTTTCCTGTGGAAAAGCCCAAAATTTAGTCTCAAATGTTAGATTGGTGGTTTTCAAGTTTGATCTTACTTTATGAATCCTTAATGTTCTTAATTAGTTCAGCAACATGGCGTTGGAATCAAGTGAAATTGGTGTCAGTGACAATGCGAGTATTTTGAGTGGTCTGCATTTCGGCAAGGTGAACGATGTTGGATAAAGTTGGCAAGCCCGCCTGACTCTTCAGATAGCCCTCAAGATTCTGGGCTCCCCGGAGATTTTGAAGCTGAAGACGGAGCTGGGGAGACGGATTGAAGCCCGGTTTTCAAAACAGTGCAGCGAAACTAGTGACCGGTAGGGACAGTGGTGCAGCTGCGCAACGAGAAGCAGATCGCATGGATCGTCGAGCTGTGCTTGGTTAGTTTTAATATAGATCCACGGCGTAAGGCTCTAAAGACGGTTCAAGACTGAAGGCTTCTAAAGACCTCGCTGTAAATCCATAAAAAATATAGTCTTCTCAAGGTCTGGGATAATACCAGGGCGACTAAAAAAAAAACGTTTTCAACATTTTCCAGTAACAATTTTAGTGGGCTGCCTTGAAGATAACGAATTCGAGCGGCACCGATGATGGGAACAAAGAATAATTTGCATAAATATTTTGTTAACCACGACTGACGCCAATGATTCGGGCTTCTTTCCCTTGCACCGAACCCAAATCACACCACACCGCTGTGTAACGCCGCAAGCGGAATCAGAAGCTTACTGTAAAGTGTTTTTACTCAAGTTGGAGTTTCGATTCGGGACCAAGTGCAGCTTGTGCAGAATTTTTTGCTGATACCGAATCCGTTTTCCAAATTTGCTGCGGACTTTTATTTAAAAAGTCATTTTTGGTGCAAATTAAGCTTGAAAAAGCCAAAAATTCGGATCCTGGTCCACTATTCCCTCCATGGTTCTGCCTCTCCCAGGGGCCCTGAAATACTCTGTCACAGCTCCCCTCCCGGTTGGCACCATGGTGCATTGGCAAAGTACTCGCTTGCCAAGCGCAGGGCGGCGGTTCAGAACCCCGCCCTGCACCTTTCTTTTGCTTTTTGCATAAAAAAATTTAATTTTTTTATGAAAAAAGCTTGTTTTGACTTCTAAGATGCTTGTCTAGCCAATCTCTAGCCAGTTTTGAAGTTGAAATTGATCAGGAAAATCGAAAACGATAACGCTTCCTTGATTTTGGTGAAAAACACTACCATAACCGCAGCAAATTTGGAAAACGGATTCGGTATCAGCAAAAAATTCTGCACAAGATGCACTTGGTCCCGAATCGAAACTCCAACTTGAGTAAAAGCACTTTACAGTTAGATGTTTGGAACTGGCTTGCTACAAGGACTTCTGGATTCTGGATTGTCCTCTTGTTTTCCATGATTGGCAAATTCAAAAAAAGTTCAGGGTATACATTGAGCACCAGAAAACGAACCTAAAATTATGCAAAATCACTGTTTTTGTGTGTACACTCGCGTACTCTCAGGGATAAATCACAAAAAGGCGGTCATGGGGGGTGAGAGGGTGGGGGGCAGTAGTGTATGCTGACCGTTGAAGCGTCAGTGATCGGTAACAGGTTTCGATACCCCAACATGATGGGGATAAGCTAAGGAAAGGTTTTGGCGCTTATTGACACCTTGACGGGTTGTAAGCGTCGGTCTTTTCTATTATTTTCAAATGAGTTTTTTTATCGTATTATACCATTGTTAAAATCCCTTTACCTCAATTACAGTTTTTGTGTGTTTGGTTGTGGTTTTTAGAGGAACCAGCAAGGCATAAAATGATTTTTTGTACCATGGCTTTTCGATGGATTTTCGATTTTTTTTTGATGTTTTGCGTGTCCTCACCGTCCGCGCAATGGATTCGAGCCTTTTTCTAGCCTCATGCGTAAGGTATCGCGGTACCGACAAAATTCATGGGAATTCCGTAGCAAAAAATCCATAAACATGCCTTAACTTTCCCTTTAAGACACGCTCCAAATCTGAGTTCAACTTTGCTTTTTGCTCCCTAGATTCTATGAGCTGTACTTATAAAGCCCTCGCTTCCACTTGAATCTATCCTCATCCTGCTCCTCCTCTTGCTCCTGCTTCTCATCCTTACAATCCGCTCACTTTTTCCAAAAACATTTGCGCAACAAGCTGCCCTGCCCCATCCAATTCGTTCCTTTCCACTCTCCGTCCGATGTCGCTTCTCGTACATTGCCACCTCTCGTCTAACAAAAGGCTGGTTTCGCGCGCCAGGCGCGTGGGGCTCGTGCTCAACACGGCGCTCCCAATTATCCGGCGATCCCCCTTCGGCCCGGCCAAGCCGTCATAATTCTTGTGTGGTCCGTTTTGCCGTTGGGATTGGCCCGAATTCGGGGATTGTTGTTGATGTCGACAGGTATCGCTAAAAGCTTTTGACAGCTTAATTCTGGTAGTACTTCCTGATCAGGGCACTTTTCGTTTTTCGGTCTTTCCATAGCCAAAAATTTGAGCTTTGACCAATTATCGAGTCCCGTAAAAGGTGCCAAAGCACGCCAGCAGTTTACAACCTGGGCTTGGCTCTCACCGGGTGAATGCTACGTGTTTTGGGTTGATTAAGGATGCGAGTCGGGTGCAAGCAGATCTGGCTGTACATTTGGGCACAACGGGCTGGCCATAAAAGGCTCAGAAACCCGTAGAAGAACCAAAACTATAGCTGTTTTTACTCCAAAAAGCAAAAAAGTTGAGGTCCCGGGGAGATTTGAACTCCCGTCGCAGGATTCAGAGTCCTGAGTGCTAACCGCTACACCACGGGACCGGGTGTGATGGCTGGTTGGGAAGGGGCTGATGTGTCTTGAGACGTTGCGTCTACAACGCGCGGCGCTGGGATTGACGCGTTCCTCAAGAACAATGGAACAGGAAGAAAATCCCAACGAAAATTCTGCGATAACTTTTAGATCTCTTGCGCTATATTTTAAGGTATCACACAGCGCACAAGCCTAATAAAATCCCGATGCGGCCAGATCACGTTCAATTTTTTTTAGTGGTTCTGATTGTTTGATAGTTTAGCCTTTAAACTTGTCTTCTCGCTCCCTTAAATTCGTCCCAAGTCAAAATTTTGGACTCACCTAGCCACCGTGCCCTTATCTAGCACGCCAAAGAACAAATTCCGGGCGAGGGCTCGGCCTGACTACCGTTTGCACGCGCCGTGCATTCCGCTGTAGCATTTTACGGCGCGCCAAAGAATGGTTTTGCCCTTGTTCTGATCTTGCCGTTTGCTATCTGCTACGTCGTAAACAACCTACGTACACGGGGCGTGGTAGATAAACGGCGAAGCAACCTGATAAAACCAAAAAATTAGTTTATTCGGGTTGATTCATAACTAGAGATGTTACGCATACGAATACGACATGGGAGTTACGCGTCGTATTCGAATAAGCCGTCGGAATCAAAAATTTCCTAATTCCGACCCGATCGTCGTATTCGAATTAGCGTCGGAACCAGGCAAATGCGACGATCGTATTCGTTTAAACCGGTCCACATCGGGATAATAAGCTAATTTGGATGCAAAGCGATATTACGAAGAAAACGATCGGAAAATGGAAACAAGTAGTCAGAATATGCATGATTTGAATAGATTTTGGAGCCGATTTCCCGGTAATTTCCGGTGGATGTGCCAATATTTTGATACTTACATAGCATTTCGTCTTGAATTTTTAATTAGCTTTTTATCCCGACGTGAAGCCGACTTGCCAGATCATCGCGTCGGAATTAGCCGAGGCTTGTTCGAATACGATCGTCGTATTCGAATTCTCGATACTCTTTCTCAAATCAGATATGCATATCGGGCTAATTTGCCGGAAGTAGCACATCGTATTCGTATGCGTAACATCTCTATTCATAACTAGAGATCCGATTTGCAAGCTTGATATTTTGTACAGTGCATTGCTATTTGCTAAATTGTTGGCTGCCATCTTATCGTAAAGAGCGGCCTAGCGTTACCTTAATCTCGAATTTAGATACCTTGAGTATTTTCCATATTTTATCCAAAAAGCAAAAAGTTGAGGTCCCGGGGAGATTTGAACTCCCGTCGCAGGATTCAGAGTCCTGAGTGCTAACCGCTACACCATGGGACCGACGGGCTGCGGCGCCGGGGTGGTGGATATGTGCGTTGGCGGAGCCGGGGCGCGCGCCAAAAAAGCGCCCGGCTAATTGACGGCAGCTTCTCCCCCTCTGTCTCGTCATGCCGACAGACCATAGGAACAGGGGATTTCAAACCGAAATCAATGTTGTAGGAGATTTAGGGGGATGGGTAATAGGCTTCAAGGTATATTTTAAGGCATAATTTGCAGGTAGCTCCTGAACGCCCAAATATTCATAGTGTTTGTGTACAGTGGGCTGTGGCTCCCGATGTTTTAGTTGTTTTCATATTCTTGATGCTTTTTAGGTTCAGAACCTGAGAATATGTCTTTATTGTGGTGGTATCATAGGTCTTAAGAATTATTCAGGACTTTTTGCTTTTTTTAGGCTATAAACTGCACTAGCTCCGTCCCTTTTTGTGTAGAGTCCAAAAAACGACGTCGTTTCCGTGCAATCGACAGTCCCGCGTCGACAGCAGCCCTTTTAAGTGGGCAGGGTGTGGAAGTGCTTGTGCCCTGTAAGCCGCCGCTGTCCCCCACCGGCCGCTATGGCGTGTGCTTGAAATTCATCCCCTTGGGGCGCGACAAGCACCATTCGCCGCGTTTTTGTCCATATTCAAGTAGACGTTCTAGACGTTCAGAGATCGTTGCAACCTTTTTTAATTAAACAAGAATTAGAGGTGTTAAAAATCATTTATTGGCTTTGAAGTTACATGATTTTCCTTTAAAACTCTGTGTTAAATAATGATGAGATAAATTTGACTCATTGTTTTTAAATTTCGGAACGTTAATTCCTTTAAAATCCGGGCGATCCTTTCCCTTTTTCCCTCCACTTCAGAATAGAATCCACGTAAAAGTGTGGCGGCGCTGGTAACTCAATACGTCGACCCCAAAATTTTTCGGCGGAATTAGACGTTCCCCATTTTCGACGCAGGCCCGTTTTTTGTTGCGAATCGTTGCCGAGCGCAGACAAAACATAATGAAATCCTCTGCTGCTTTCACGGCTTTTTTGCTGGTTTTCGGTGCGTTTGAAACACCGGACCAGAAAAATGTCTATTTTCCCCTTCCGTCGACCTTCAAACCCCGTCATTTTAGCCAATTTGCACTCGGAATCTCTCCAAACATTTCTTCAATTTTTGGGCTAAACTTTCCCCCAGAAAGTCCCGTTTTCAAAAGTGCCAATTCCGGACTCGGAATCACCCTAAACATTTCTTCTATTTTTT